ACCTTGTTAATAACAACAGAACCATGGGTACCTGGCCAGAGAAAGACCTCAGAGACACTGCCTGGTAGAGAATGCAGGATCAGTCATTAATTAAAAGCATGCATAACCCACCTTTCCATCACAGAGTTCAGGGGAGCTAACATGGAAGAGCACAATTGAGACAACCATCAATTCAAATGAATGGCAGAATAAAAAAGCAAGCATGACATAACAATTGTATGACAACTGTTTCCCATTGGATTAAATGTGCAGTTCTTGACGTACTGATGGGCCAGTGGTGTGCTGTAGCCAGGGCTTGCAGGGCCACATTACCTGCCAGCCCCTCCGAATCCTGTTTCGCTAGAGCTTAGCTGCAATCCTCAGAGCAGTTGTGGGGAACTGACTTTTCCCAGCAACTTATTGTTCTTTGTTGTGAAGTATTTTGGCCTGGAATGCCAGAATACTTGAGCAGTGGATTCGCTCAAGCTCTTACTCCTGGTGAAGACAATGAATACCAGGACTAGTTTCTTGATGGGGTCAACACAGCTGCCTATACTTGTGGACTTTCCTTGGGGTTGTGGCTATGGAAACTGCCATGATGAGCACCTATGCTTCAAAATGTGCCACTACAACATGCTTATGGTCCAAAGGTTTTCCTAAAAAATGGCTTGCACTGGATTACTTAGAGGCAAGGCCATCCTCCCCTGGGGGAAGAGTTCCAGACGTAGGGATGACCACCTAGAAAGGACTTGCTCCAAGCCCTGTCTAGCATATGTTGGGGATGTTGGGATATACAAAAAATCCACAAGGAGGCTCTCCACAGGTAGGCAGGTTTATGCAAGAGAATATTCTTCAGATATTGTGCTGGAATCAACTGAGTGGTATGAAGGCATCTACTTGTATTCAACATATTGTGTTCTATTGCATTCAAACACAAGGAACTTGTATGCTCTAGTTTAAGGAAATTGAAAGAAAATGGGAGAGACCAAGCAAGGAGAAAAAAGATGAAAATGAAAGAAAAATAATGGTGCTGAACAGGTGCACCCCACCACATAGCAAATGTTCTGAAAAGTGATTTAAACAAAGGTGGCTGCACCATACAGGTTCTGGAAAAGAATTCCAAACTCAAGGAGCATAGCTTCATACATGTATGAATTTGGGTCAAAGGTGGCAAAAGGATAATTTAATTCATTCATGTATGAATTTGGGTGAAAGGTAGCAAACAGATAATTTCAGAATTAAATTTCCTATTAGACATGCACTTTTGTGAGCAGAGAAGTCCTTGTTCCTGGTAAGGCCTGTTAATTCTTCTCCAGTGACAAAAGATATTGAATTAATCCATGTTCAGTATAAAAGCAGACTTATCAATTTGATCACAATTTTAAAAACAGTTGTTCAGTGAAGCAGATACAGTTGATATTTTTCACTTCCATAAAATATCAACCCAAACACACCTAGGTTAGCAAACTGGTCTGCATGGAATACAGACTTCATCCTACAGCTTGGCAAGACATGAGCCTGTTATTTTAACTTTACCTCAGAGCTCGACACTGAGATGAAATTAAGGTTTGCATCTTGGGCTGCATGGAGTGCATATAGATGGTGATCTGGTCATGAAATTTGCACATCTAGTTCAGTATGAAAAAAGGAATTTTTAAAACTTCTGTGATTACATGCAGGACATGCTCCCAAATGTGTTCACAGATGCAAAAGCTTGCCCACTGTCTGGAGAAGTTATTTGACAGTGGTCTTAAGTACACTGGTCAGACAAATGTATTGCACCTTCAACACTGCAATCACCCAAGAAGTGTTGGTGTGACAGAATTTAGGTTGATCCTGTATCTATCCTTTTAAAGCTACTGTCTGTGGTACTCAAAGCTGTTTCCCTTGTTTTTTTCTCAGTAGGCTGCAAACTTTCCCTTTGATCCTTTTCCCTAAACCCATTAAAAACCCTGGGCACCAGGCTTAGTGTGTTCCAACATTCCTATTTTACTGAAATCAACTACCCCAACAACCCACCCTTGCCAGGTTCACATTTGAACAGCCATGGCAGCTTGGATAGGCAACTCAATGAGCCATGGTGGGGTGCGATCATTATGTGAACCAGGTCAGAAGGTTCGAAGTGATTTATCAAGACCACTATGTTCTTGCACATTGAACCCATGGGCTACTTTGGGTTAGGGGTATCTTGTCAATTATTCTAACAACTTTCCAGACCACCTGCTTATAAGAGCTCACTCTGTACTTTTAATACTACTGTCAGCCTGTATTTAATGTTATTAGGTGCTTAGAGAGCCCTGCTGGGCCATACAGCAGTCTATAAATGTGAAAACAAGCACACTTATCCTCATGCTTTTCAGTATATCTATGATAATTAAACACATAACCAGCTATGCAATTTCTTAGGGCTGCAAGACAACAGCAGCCCTAAGATCCCCATAGATTGCACCATTTTATTTATTTATTTATTAAAACATTTTTATGCCGCCCCATTCGCCGAAGCCTCGGGGCAGCTTACAACAATAAAATAATTATAATATAAATCAAAAATATAAACATTAAAAATACAAAAATACAGTATAAAATAAGCCGCCCTGGCCAGATAAAATCCAATAATATTAACAGTTAAAATGCCGCTTGAATAAAAAGGGCTTCGCCTGGCACCGAAAAACAAATAACGACGGCACCAGGCGGACCTCTCTGGGGAGCGCGTTCCATAACTTAGGCGCCACCGCAGAGAAAGCCCTCCTCCGAGTACCCACCCTCCTAATTTCTTTCACGGAGGGTTCCCGGAGAAGGGCCTCCCCGGCCGATCTCAAGGGGCGGCTGGGCATATATGGATGCAAGTGCTCCTTCAGGTAACCATATTTTTGAAACCATGGGAGAATAAGCAGCAGGAACCTTCCCCTTTCCCTATGCATTACAATGTCTTCAGGAAGAAAGGTATATTTCAACAAAAGTTGATGTTGATTTCTTGACAAAAGAAAAACTTTTGACCAAAATTGATTTCTCAATACAAAATAAGAAAAGAGCACAAAAATGTGTTTTCTTTCTTATGTTAACCAGCTAGAATATAACAGGATAAAGGCAGCATACCAACATTTCAAACAGCTCAATGAAGAAAGGCTCCTTTTTTCTTATGCACAGTAAGCTAAAATCAAGACCACTGAGTTATTCCAACATGCCCTTTTAAACTTTGCAGATGAGTAACTCTGTAACCCATTGGTCCTCTTATTAGAAATCACAGAGTTGTTCAAACAAATCAAAGTTCAAAAGGAAAAGAATATGATCTGAGCAAAGGCCACTTACGGTGGAGCAAGGAAGTTTAAGGAAAGCAACAGTACAAAGCCACCACAGTCCTAGAAGCCTACTTTTGACGTGCCAAGCCATGAGGAACACTTTGACAATATTTGTGAGGGAGCTGCCTGGATGGTTTCTCTTTGCTGGAATTTTCCTACCAGTGACATTTCTTCTGCTGCTTCTCATTGCTTACTTCAGGATCAAACTGAAAGAGGGTGAGTCAATCACAATAGGAGGCACTGAAAGGTGGTCAGGTAGGTAGAAAAATAAAATAGAATGATCTGAATTTAACTTCCACAATAATCAAAGCAAGCAAAATAATTCAAGCCTCCTCCAGTTCCTTTGAAACACTAAACTTCCCACAGAGTTGCTAGCAATGGAATTATCCTAAATACACTTCCAGCAAGCACAAGTAAAACCATTTAGCTTTCCTGCTGATAATCTATGCCATACATTGTCAATTCAACAATAATATAAGGGATATTAGCAGATTAAATTTTGTATTGCTACAGGTTTGGTTTTATTAAATTTTCAAGATCCAAATAGAGATTTACAGATTTAATTTTCAGGCAGAAAAAATATGTAAAAACAGATGTTTCAAACTGTATTCCCAACTCTTCCACCCACCTTAATTTATTTGTGCAATTTACTTCCAAGTTTTGGAATCAGCTTTATGTAGCTGATTTTTCTTTAGAAAGTTTCCTGCTTCTACTAGCACAGTAATTCCTGTCAAATTTTACTATGGTACAAGACAGGCAAGCAACACAATTATACATTATACATGCTGTTGGATCAGCTTGAAATGACCCAAGTGTGTTTACTGTGCAGTTCTCAAGACACTGGACTAAAACTTGCATCAGTCACTGGCCATGATGGTGCAGACTTGGAACTGAGTCCAGCATTAGCAGGACTACTTATTCTCCACTTCTGGTATAACCCCTTTTGCTGCCTCATTAGAAAAAGAAAGTCATTTCTTCTCTTTCTGGTTCATTTAATCTGTTTCCATTACAAGTTCTTCAAACAGAAGATGTATCCATCTTAACATTCAAAAGTATTTTCTATGTCAAGGTTTGGAATAGGGAGTTCATCCTCACTCATTTCCTCTGGACTTCTATCTGCCTTACTCTTTGAGCCCTTTAATGAGATGTAACATAGTTTTGTTCTTGTGCATAGTGGAGTTTTCCTTTTATTTTGCACTACTGCAACACATGGAGATGTTTTCATTTAGCATATTAAAAAAGAAACATTCAAATGAGCACATTATCCTATCATCTCCAACTGCCATCTTGCCAGTCTCCTTTCAACCCTGCTGCTGCAAATTAACCACTTTTATCCTTTTCAGTGAACAAGGAGTTGGCTCCGGCCAATAATCCCGCAAATGCAGTCCTTCGGTACTATTCCAAATACAACAAATTGAGGAACTCCAAAAGAAAACCAAGGTCAGTAAAAAACTGGTAACTTCATAGACAATTTTACTTCAAGATACAGGTTCATCATCTACTATCTATTCCACTAGTTTAAGAACAGCTTGCTGTTATATAAAAGTGGATATTGGTGAGAAAAGAGTTATGAAGACTTGGTTACAAGAGGCATAAATGAACAGCTATTTAAAAAGGAAGTTTTAATTATTTTACTTCCTCATAACGGCTTTCCACAACTCTATTTAAAATATGGTTTCATGTGATAAACTACTTGAAAAAAAATCACACACAAAATGGATATATGGACTTTTTGTCTGTTTATTTTCCATTTTCCTACCACTTTCTGAAATCTCTGCAATCATATGTCTGGAAATACAAACAGTGAAATGAAACACTTATACAAAACAGTAAAAGATACAAATTAAAATATAAAAGCTGCTGCTTTCCTGCATTAAATGGCTATGTGTTTTTAAAACCTGATATATTTCTTAAAAGTTGTACAGATGTATGTGGGTTCTCATTGTTTTTGTAACACTATAGCTGCAAAGGAATACAGCTGGGAACCTAGTATGTATGTCAAATTGGAGGTTGTTCATGGAATGCATTTTTTCTACTTGCTGTTGAACTCTCTCGTGTAATGTAGTTGTGACACTATGGGCACCTGTTGGACACTTTTTGTAATGTCAGTAATTGTCTACTTTCCCCATCTCTCTAGAACATCAATCTTCCATTTGCTCATTTCAAAATTTGTGCTTTTTCCTGGCAGCAAGATTCTTATCCAGCCCTTACATTTCAGCAGTCATTCCACTGCAACCAAAGGACTGAGATTAATATGATAGTAGGGTTATGAGGAAAGCAGATGTCATCGGTGCTAAAGAATATTTGCACAAATTCTTAATGTAAAGTATAACAACTGAAACTATGTAAAGTACAGACAACAGAAATGCTGCAGTATTTATTATGGGATTAATAGTTTCAGCCAAAAGAGTCAGAGATATGGTGAATCAGAAACTATAGATGAGAGTGGTTCTGGGACTGAAGATGAATGGGTTCCATCTAGACTTAGCTGCACTTAAGATTCTCACTGAACTCAATGTGAAAATGTAATCACTCTTGAATTTTTAAAATTAGAACTGTGCAAGTAACTTAGTCTAGATCTGGCCTAATGTTCTTTAGACACAAAGAGAATACAGAAACAGGCTGAAGAATTAGAATTATGCAGACCTTAAAGTGGTAGAATTTAATTCCTTTACAGTACTTTGTCTATATGTATGTGTATTTCTTTGCCAGTAAAAATGAAAAGAGGATGCATTTTATTGTACTATTTTGAAAAAGCGTGAGCAATGAACTTTGATAACATATATTTAAACAATGCAACCAAATAATTTTCCTAACAATGTGTTTAACTCCCACATGATAAACTTACGCAGTATTTTCCAACCGTATTCATAGACTCAAAATATATTTTGTTTCAAATGACTAATTAATAGTAGTAAAATTTAGAGAATAAACAAACTTTATTTATAATAGTAATACAGAAAGCAAAATATCACTTAATACAACTTCAAGCTGCTGTAATTTTAATATGGCATCTTAACTATACATAAGGTGAACGGCTGGATGAGAGAAGAGATACAGTTAACAGGTTTTCATACAGACTTCCTCAGCGGCAGGCAGCCTCACTCTACAGAACTGGTTCCCATGATGGGCCCTAGGCTGCATCCATGGCTCCTCAGTGTCTGTAAAACCTGCAGTTGCCTTTAGGTGAACTACTTCAAAACAGGTAACTGTTCAACAAAAGTGTCAGTCATAACAGGGAGATCATGAGTTGCTTATGCAATACAAACATTTCTGCATGTAATCAATGTGTTTGACATTTGACATATTAAGAGAAAAGCACTAAGGTTTTAAGCTGCCTAGATTATCTTTGTTGGAAGAGAAGAGAACAAAGTCCTTCCAACCTTGTCCAGAATGCTGGAGACCACGAAGTGTCTACCAAGGGACTGAACAATGGCAGTGAAGTGCATAAAGGTTATTAGAACAGTGCTCAGTCAGTAGAAACAACTTTATAACTCTCTTTCTATATTATAACAGCACCAGTTCCCCTCAGAGTGGGAGACCCTCAGAAAAGAGAATGTTACAAGGAGTCTGTATAAAATCCATACAAATTTTAATTTATGTTTCCTACCAAATTATAGGAAAGCTTTGCAATTTTTTTAATAAAAAGAATGTATCTTTTATATTATTTGACATTTCATTTACCTGAATAATCTGAAAAAAACTAAGTTATTCCAGTAAGAAGCTTTATTTGAAATATTTCTGAAGAGGCTATATCTAAATTAGTCAACAATTTTCTCCTTCCTGCATATTACAATTACTCAAGTGAACAGTGCATACTAAATATTTGTGTTCACTTTCATGCAATCAGGAAATCAAGTTATATAAAAATGGCTGGGAATTGTGCAAACAAAGTAATAAATTTCTAAACCTCATAAAAAGCCAAGAATGTTAAGAAGTGGTTATAAAAATAAAGACATACATGTTATAGGATGAGAAAAGATAAGGTATGGTATTGGTGATTTCTTCTGGAGATGTCTGGCCACTGGTGCCAAGCTGGGTAAATTCAGTGAAATAGTGGCAGGGACACTGACTTGGAATGACTGAAGCTCTTCATAGTCACAAATCTTCATAATTCTAAAGAAAGCAAACAATTTAGTGTAATTCTTACATTTATCCTAAGTGTTGAAGGCTATTAAACATCCTTTCGGCCAGAATGCCATTGCCGTCTTTTTCCTCAACTTTTTTTTTTTGCTTTTTTTCCAGTCATATCCACAAGCTACACTTTCCTGACCTCAAAGAACATTAAGCCTCCCTTTCCAGAACAGCAGCTTTCCTCAGTGTTTAAGCAGCCACCCAATTGCATGTGCAGACATACTCGTACATACAAAAACACCACCACCACACCATTGCTTAAAACTGGGAACCAAGCAGAATCTGCTCACTTCACTCTGCAATTATAAATAGCACCACTACGTTTGTAGCGGCATGCCAATGCCTATCAGCCTAACCATTGTTATGGGAAAAAATGTTTCCCTTTTCAGAGACATTGGAGCAAGTTCCAGCCTAAAGCATGGTGACTTGCTTCTTGTTGCCACTGTTGTCATTCAATCCTAGAAGGGGCACACATTGCTGAAAGCATCCATATACCCTGAAGTGCCTGATCCTGCCTAATCCTGGAAGCTCAGAAGGGTCAGGCCTGGTTGAAATCTTGATGGGTTACTTTATGTTGTTAACCACCAAGAGAGCTTTCGCTACAGGCAATAAAGAAATGTAATGAATAACAGTAGTAACAGGGCCCAATCACTATAATTCAGACTATAATCCGCTCCAAGGAGTCTTTTGTAGCATATAGGAACTATATTTCTCAAGAGGCTTGAAGCAAGGCAGGCCTTGTAATGCTGTGGGCCTTGAAACAGACTGCAGTGACCTGCAGAGTTGGAAATCTCCCTGCTGATTTATTAATATCCTTGATTACTCTGCAATACCAGTGAGAACAGTGGCACTGCTAGGCCACAGAGTGTTCTGTGGTTTTGAAGCAGGAGGTGTCTCTCTGGATCATTATACTGCCCATGATGCTAAGGCTTGCGGCATTCCCAGGACCACCTTGGGATTCAGAGTTAGTTGTCCTAGAGATAGGAATTAGGACCTTCTTGCTGCCCACACTGCTACTCATCCTCATTAAAAGGGAAAGAGAACACAACAGTGAATTGCTGACCTCTACCCATCAGGCATGAGCCTTTTCAGAAGTTTATGGCCCAGGTGCTCATACTTGTGCTTGTGACCTTGATATGCATCAAAATCTAGAAACTTCTAGGCTATTTACCATCTCTATTTAGGAAACATGAGAAGTCCAGTAAGTTCGTATCCAGTCCAAAATGGATAGAGAATTCCCACAACTCAAAATTCAACAATGAAATTTGACAATAATGGGTTTAGTTTTATCCCTACATTAAAAACCAAAGGATTACATTCTAAAAAGTTCATTTGAGGCAGTATAACTGTCTGCATTCCAAGTGAGACTTCTGGTTTCTCTTGGAACATTTCCTCCATTTGATGAATTGTAAGTGGCTTGCAAAAATCTACAATTTGAAGTTTGAAGAAAGAAAATTTGTCTAATTGGTGCCCTGGTGTGCCTCTTTTCTCCAGCCCAAACATTTAGCACATCACTACCAAATATTTTATCAGTGTTCTCAGTTGAGAGACACAATTTCTTTTGTTTTCATATGCTTCTTTTCCAACTGCAATGTCTACATATTATCTGATCCAAAGTTTGTTTATTCATTCCTTCATTCTATACTGCTTTTCTGTTAAAAGACATCAAGAGAGTGCAAAGATTATTTAAACAAAACCAGTAAAACCATTTAAAATATTAAAACCACAATAAACACTGAAAATGATTTCAAAGGCCCCTTTTAAGAAATGTGTCTTGTCACCTTTTCCAAAATAAGACAGTAGAGTCCAACTGTAATTCTAAGGAAAGGAATTCTAAAGACACTGAAGAAGACCCTTTCCTGAATGCCCAACAAATGGACTTCTGCAAACTGGGGTATCCTCAAAAGTGCTTCTTCTGCAAATCTGAATAACCTGGAAGCCTAAACTGAGACAGGTAGTCCCCCTTAGATACCCAAGCCCTAAGCCATGGTTGAGAATGTGTAGTCCTCTAGATGTAGTTGTACCATAATGCTCACCACTCAATCTATTGGCTATACTGGTTAGAGCTGATAACAGTTGCAGTTCAGGAAGGCCCACACATGTCCCATCCCTGACCTAGATTGTATTTTAATGGACTTCTGTAAATAACCTAGAGAGCTTTGGCTATTGGACAGTATACAAGATATAAACAAAAAAAAGCTGATTGTTTTAAAAGTTAAAAACAACACCTTGCATTGAGCCTCACAAATAGTGCAGGATTTCAATACTGAGGTATGTGCTCTCTATACTGTGCACTGATTAGCAGTCTAGTTGCTGCATTTTGCATCAAATGAAATAAAGCTTCCAGACAATCTTACAAGTTAGTCTCATGCAGAGTATATTGCAATAATCAAACTATACGGTAACTACGGCATGGGTAACTATTGCCAAATTAGAACAATGCAGGAAAGGTTTCAACTGGTGCAGGAAGTATAACCATGCCAATGCAACTTCTTACCACCTGAACATTTAGTGACAGTGAGAGATCTGCAAACCTGAACTTTTGAGAGGTGCAAAACCCATTCCAGAATAATTTGAATCCTAATGCTCAAACTGGACTTTCTACTGACCAACAACCTTCCCGTTGGTTCCCTGCAGTTTCTTTCCCTGTAGTTATATTCTCAGTTTCTGCTTCCCATGCCTTAGTTCCTACATTCTTTGTTTTTTCCAATTTGCTTTTCTTATATCGAGGCTCCAAATTGGAAGAATTCAAACTTTAGAATACAAATATTCCAAGCAGAAACATGGAAGAGAACATTGGGCAGATAGGCTTTCTTATGCTCAACTCTAATACACAGCATTTCAAAGTACATAATATACGAAGGCTTCTTATATTACTGTCAAAGCTGTTTGCAGTTTATTGAGAGTTGGGGGCTCTTACCTTATTCTCCTTCTTCTTCAAGTTCTGTTTCCTTATGCACCACCACTCTTGTTACAGACATGTCAGGGTGCTGTTCTTTGGCTTCTTTAATGGCTTGTGCCAATGCCTACATAAATTTTAAAATGAACTGGTTGAACAGCTACAGGTATTAAAATGAAGAGTTAGCCTGGTGGGAAATGGCTAGTTAAGCTACCAGCACTATGCTTCCTGAAACAGAATTATTTTATTTATTTAGAAACTTTGTAGGCCATCCATCACTGTCGTCTCTGCTCAAAGAGAGAGCTGGAGATATGGAGGATATTGCTGCACAAAAACTTAAAACAAAGAAATACTAAGTAGACCTATTTTGTAAGTTTGAGTGGTAGAGTAGACTTTGAATATTTTCTTAGTGTTTATTTAAAACAAGTATACTCTGTTTTCTAGTCAAACCTCATACAGATTAGATTGAAAACACACATCAGTTCTGGTATGGCAATTTCTGTCAAATAAAAATATTACGGTGTATCTTCATCCACCTTATTCACCAGATCTGGCACTGTGCGACTTCTGACTCATCTCCAAAGTCAAAATGACCATGAAAGGTAAATGTTTTGAAATGATTCAGGACATCAAGGCAGCCATGACAACTAAAGACACTCATAAAAGAGGACTTCCAGAAATGCTTCAGAAAGTGGCAAGAACAATGAGATAAGTGCATTTGAAGTAAGGGGAAGTATTTTGAGGGGGATTAATGGCAATGTGTCTTCTACTGTAATAATTTTTAAATTTAAAGAGTCACCATATTATTTGATCATACCTTGTATATAACCACTCCTCACTAAGTAAATGTACTAACATAACATTACTACTTCAAACTTAATTTGTTTCAGGAGGCTGAATTTATTGTTTATTAGGTATTGTTTAGGGTCTGGGAATGGAGTATTTCCATTATTTCTAATGTGGAAAGTTGATCCAGAGTTCAAACAGCATCCTGAAAGGAATTAAGTTTGAAGTATGAGGCACCATTGTATCTAGTATTCATCCTTATGGCCTTGTGCTTCTACATGTGTTAAATATATGTATTTATTTATTTAGCAGCAATAATATAACAATTGATGGCAAGGGGGAATCAGTAGGCAGGAAGACTGTGCTGATCTTCCTGTGTAAATGTGTCCCATGGGTGTCTTGAAATGCAAATTTATAGGAAATGTCCTGAGAGAAGAAAATATCAGTGGTCATGGGAAGAGTTAAGTATCCCCATTCTCCATAATTTGTCTTCTATGTCTTCCCCCCTGCCACCACCCCCATCACATTCACATTGCCACAGGAATTGTAGGTTTGGGAATATGTGTTTGCCAAGGCAATAGGCAGTTCTGCCTCAAGGCAGCAGTTGGTACTCTTCCTTGAACAACTTTACTTGTTGATGAGGAAAGTGTAAGCAGTGGCCAATTAGTATCTTTCCCCATAGATCTTTTGAAAGCACAGTTCAGAGGTAAACAAAATCTGTATTGGGTTTGCTTTGACAGAGCACACTGGAAATTTTCAGTAGGAAATAAACCAAAGTGAATAGCAATAACTTGTTATATACTTAAAATGCTAATCTTCATTAATTAAAAAAACAAGAACAGAGATGTTCCTTAAACTATTTTTAGTAATTGAACATGGAAGACAAGGGAATAATTCTCCAGAACACACAGAGAGAGAAAGAGGGTGGATACATCAGAAACAAACATGGATTCAAGAAACAATACATTACCACTACAAGTTGCTAGATATTTACTGAAATGATGATAATTTAATACTGCATACAAACACATTTTTACATGAAGAAGCATTCTCTAAGCTGAACAAGGAACATATATTAAAAACAAATGAATGTAATCCATCCCTAAAAAAGAACTTACCTTTGGGCCCCATATTCTTTATACAAACCCAAAAGAAGGTACTGAGCTCTTGAGATATTATAAATTCCATTTCATTACAGCCAAGATGTTATCTGACCTTTTCAGATTTCCCAGCTACAGATGTGCCAGGACAGAGAGCCCTCATGCCTAATGCTACTGCTTAATTTCAGGCTTCAAGGAGAGACTGAACCTGACACAGGCACATCAAAAACTGAAATTACATTTACAAAGATGTCTTGGTGCATTACAATTAAGAAATGAAAATGAAGCCCCTGCTTGGCTGATTTGTCCATTAAGCTTTAGTGCAGCACCATATGACAAACAGGCAAGCTATAATCAAAATAATTCAGTGAGTGTTAGTTATTTGGGTTTTTTTTACCCACTCTAAGCTGATCTATTTGTAAGTGAAATGTTATATAAATTAATTTAAATAAGAATCAATTTCTTAATATTGCTCACTTTTTTAGCAGTTAGAGCATATCTTTCCAAGAAAAAAACCCCATCCATTCTTTCACAATGGACAAAATATTGGAAAACAGAGCAGTATACATTCTGTGTCTCACCTGATCATGGTCAAGGTCTGCATCTCCAGTAATAACAATCCGTTTCTCAATTCTGGTTTCAGAAACACCACCTTTTACTGTCTACGGGATTCACAAGGAAAAAAGTGTTACTTAAGCCCCCAGTACAGTGAATTTGCTGAGGCAGTGGTACAGATGTTTCATGTCAAGTTTCTATCACCATTGACAATGCAATGGAAACTACAGAATGTGTGTGCGACAGTGAGAGAGAAACAGGCAGGCAGGCACTCCAACAGTGCAGGGTCAAGCAGAATTAGAATGCCCACCCAGTACAGTGTTTGGCCGCATGAAGGAAAAACTGCATCCTGTTTCTCATTCACAGATCAATACAGCCATATTTTCCTAACCCCTATCTAAATGCACCTGCTGAAAATGCTCTGCTGCAGGTGAATGACATCATTTACTGCACTCATCCATAGCTTCTTTTCAATAGGATTCTCTTTGAATTTGTCATATCAGGAAAAAAGATGACTAAGAGGCCCAGGAAATATAGATCAAGAACACAGAAGACCCATTCAAAACATCAGAAGCAACAAGTCACCACCCTTAAAAATACATAAGGAGAATTCTGAACTGTGCTGTATGGAATACTGTGCAGAAAAACCCCTCTCTCATTAGTTTTCTCATCCACCTGCCATCCCAGGAACTTGTAACTGTTACTTGTTGGTCTCTAGTTTCCTTCCCCAGAGCTTTAGCAACATTTGAAAAGTGAGACCTTTCCTCCTCTGCATATTTTCTTTCACCATTAGCAGAAAGGGTTGGTCAGGATATGAAAAGTTTTCCTAACAAGTTGCTGTCTTCTATTAAGCATCTGAGAATTTATGTTTTGCAGGGTTAACTCCAAAAATCCTTGAAAACAAGAAGAACCATACAGAAAATACCACTATCAAATTAATTCACTTCTAGTGTTTGAATAGTCAACACAAAATGTACTCAGTAATTTATATCCAATCCAATCCAATCCAGAGTGACCGTTTTACCTTAGTGATGTGTGTGGTTGTGGTTGTAGAAAGAGATTCCGAAGTGATCGTTTGTGCACTCAAAAGCACACCAGCATCACCATTGCCATCAAACTAAAGAATAAAAACAAAACAGGACAATTCTAACTAAATCAAAGCATCACTACTCAGCTATTCCTATATATGGAAATTACCTGCTTTACAAATAAACATCCATAATGTTCTGTTACCATCCATGTTACTGGAAAGGACCATTTGAAATGAACAATAGACAAAATGAATCAGAGAAATGCAAGCAAAGACAACAACAGGGACCATCCCAGGTTGTATTTGCCCTCTCCTCATCCAAGAGAGCATCACTTATCCACTCCCTTGTAGAAAATATTCCAGGAGAGGAAGAGAAGCAAGTAACAATGACCTCAGGGCTAGATTCCTCTCCTTTACAGGGCATCAACAATCAACTACCCTAGTGGAAAAGATTCTAGGAAAGAGGGAGGGAGAGGAAGATTGTCCAGAAACCCATTCCAGTTCCAGCTGGACTTTCCTCACCCAAGATCATCTTTAACCACTGACAGTTTTGCATATATGTTTAATTAGTTGATGATATCATTTCTTGTGATTTTATTATCATTTTTCTTGTGTGCTGCCTTTGAAGTTTTTGTATCCAAGGAAGGTAGAAAATAGTTATAATAAATCATCATTAACTCCTTTCTCAGGCAGCTAAAATCGGAATGGCAGAAATAAAAGTAAATCCCAGAGATAAAGTAAAGCTGCTTACCTGTAACTGACATTCTTCAAGTGGTCATCTGTGCATTCATACATATGGGCCTGCATCTACGTAGGGCATGTTGTTGTGAAGATTTTCCAAGCTAGACTTAATCTGACAGAACTCCTCCTTGCCCTTCCCTTGGTCTATCTAGAAGGTGCTCCTGCCATTTTCCCCAGTTCTTTCAGGACCAATGTTACGGCTTTGAAACCAGGGAAGAAGGCCAGTGAATGACTGACCCATACCATCTCAATACAGGCCTGAAGGAAAACTATGATTCTGAAGCTGTCGACACTGACATGGCATTGGTGGGCAGGATGGGTGAATGCACAGATGACCAAAGCATGTCAGTCATCTTCAGTCTAATTTAGCAAGGCACCTACGTGTACACCCCCTTGTAATGTATGTATATTACATATTAAATATATGCATGTACTTCTGTGTATCTATCATGACATATTAAGTACATTGGATTCATGAAATGTTACATAGGGACTGGGGCCTCTTCTCACATACTGCAGTCTTCAAAGGTTGTTGCCTCAGATTCAGAAATAGAAGAAGAGGAGGTACATTTGAAATGTTTAGCTGAAATGCCAAGACCAACCAGCACCCACATAAGACAGGCAACCAAGGAGAAACAGATATTTTCAATAAAACTCAGCTGACCACTGAGAGATGGGTGGGGTGCATTAAACAAAAAATGCCCAGTGTTGAAGCACTGGACCAATTGAGAAGCATCAGATGTTCTTGGCAATTGGCCCATATGCAGAAAAATGAATCTGAAGATGCAAACAACTCCTCTGGGTTTGGGAATAAGGAGGGGTATTTAGTTTGGAATCAGCTTTGCATCATTTTGTCACATTTCCTTAACATCCAGTATTCTAATTACACTGTTGTTTATGGTTACTGACTTATGAAATACCCTTCCTTCTTTTGTATTACAAACCATGCTGGGCTGCCACTTTAACTTCATGAAGAGTTTAGTTAGAAAGTGTTTGTCTTGATCTACTTGGAAAGCATAAGTAGGTGGGGAGGGAACCAACACATGATACAGTAATCACAAAATGTTACCAGCTTAACTTCTAAACCCCTATTTTAATAAATACATCTAGCATAAAGTTATTTTTTTCAAGCATATGGCAATACCCTCTTATATTATGTGCACAATATTGTTGATGTATTCTAAAAATATATTGGAAATCATGCATTATCTGTACCTGGGGAGATTCATACGTGATAGTTTTTGTCTCTGTTTGAACAATTGGTACTTCTTTGGTGGATATTTCAGTTCTCTGTGAAGCATCTGAAATGGTCACCATCTCAGTTTTAACCACGGGAGGCTAGTATTCAGAAAGACACAGAAAACTATGGATTCAAAGGTCATAAAAAGTAAAGCATATGGCACGTAGCAATATATGAACTTGCTTCAAGGTACTGAATTATTTTTAAAAGATTTCTCAAAGGAACTTCTAACTGAAAATGAAAATCATGACACACATCAGCATCCAGACTGTAAAACTTAGCACACTTTACATTATCACAGCAGACCAACCAGTAAACTGATTTATATTCCTCCAATTTTACTCTAGTGAGAAACCAAAGATAGCTTACATAATCCTTCCCCTTTCCATTACAGCATCACAACCCTGTGAAGTAGATTAGGCTGAGAGTCAGTGACTGCCTAAAGTCACTCAGTGAGTTTCATGGCCATGTGGGAACTAGAACCAAAATCTCCTGAGTCTTGGTACAACACGCTAACCATTGCACCACACTGGCCAGATGATCTTGGCTCAGATTAATTTGATGTTCGTATCTACTGCAATAAGTTCATGCCTCCAGAAGATTACAGGCAACTAATATAAAATAATAATGGTTTTTGTAAAGGCTTTTCACCAAAACAAAGAAATATACTAATGCTGACTATCCCATGATGCTGGATTGCACTCAGTGTGCATTCTGACAACCCTGTCCATGTGTTTCATCAACATCTATGCAACCATTTCATAAAGTATCTTACGGAAGACAGTAAAAAAAGGAATCTGTGGAATTTAAGAAGAATATTATATTTATGTGTTTTTCCTGTTTTCACTTCACTCACAAGACTAATAACTTCATGATTCCAATTTTACAAGTTATTGTTGGGTCATAAACAACTAACAAACTAGACAAGACAAGACTCAAACAAATTAATACATGCAAACAAAAACCGTAACATTAAGAAGCTAAAAAGATGAAACAGTCCCAGGCAAGTTTGTTCTTCTGGGAAAGCACACTGGATGGAGAAAAACCATGACCAAAGGCATAATTTGACTGTCTTATCAATTCTACCCCACCCCCCTGCTTTCAGATTTGAATCTGAGTGAAAACCTGAGGAAGACAGAGAAGAAGAAAGGCAGAGATTTTTAACCCTATGATGAAGCATCTAATCTAGGGTCCTTTCCTCATCTACCATTTACCTCAGAGCAACAAATTATCTGTGGTGAGACATCAATGTCAATATGTGATGTCTCGCCATTTACTTTCAACTGCTCTTCCTCACTCTCTTCTTTTGGACCTTGTTTATCCAGATTTGTCAGGTTTGCCTCTCCAGATGTTTTTGTGGACACTTCATTTGTCTTGAGCAAAGTTTCTGTCACTTGTGTATGCCCAGCTGTCACTTGCAGTGGGCTGACTTCCTGTGAAATTTCCACACGCACTACTGCCTCTGTTTTGCATTCCTCCTTCTCTTTTATATTTTCATTTTCTTCTACTTCTTTTATGGTGTCCTGAGTCATCCGTTGGTGTGGCTGATATTCTCCTACTTCATCTTCACTCTCACTACTGCTGCTATCTGATGACAGTGATGAAGAGTCCTTTTTTGTCAGATGCTCCATCTTCAGATTTTCCCCATCAGAGACAACCTCTACTTTGCCTCTGTTGGTATCGTCTTTGACTACTGCCTCTTCTGTCCCAACCTCTGCCTGCTTCTTCTCCACTACGTTCAGAGTCTCATGCGAACTCTGCACAAAACAAATGGATGAGGAAAAACAAAAAGTAGAACACATGAATAAATAAAATAACGAACATAAAACAGTGATGGGTGATTCAGGTCACATAAAGAATAAAGATGACTGTAATGGTTAAATGGGGGAAAACAAAGGAATGAAAGAATGATGATTCTGAAATGTCAAAGGTCAATGGTCTATGGCAAAAGAGTAGAACCTTAATAGTCCTGCTGGTTCCACTGGAAGGCTCTTCTGTTTGGGAATTAAATTTCTGTGAAACAAAAGCAACCAGAAGACATATAAATACAACTATCTACACTTGTTGACACAAACATCTGATTTCCTTATTACACAAATAGCACAGAAACACAAATTATTGGCAGTTTTGTTAAAGCAGCATATAAAGAAGTACCCAGAGATAAGCGTATTGAAAATGTACTGTGTCTTGGATTCAGACTTAAATCATACATAGATCAGACCCATTTAAGGCAATGGGGCTTAAGTCAGAACTAAGTCAGGTTGCTTACCTGTAACTGTTGTTCTTCAAGTGGTCATCTGTGCATTCATACATATGGGCTCTTTGCAAGCGAAATTCTACAGCTAAGCATTAACTTGGGCAGAGGCCCCTCCCCTTCCTGCTTCCTGCATCTATGGGAGGGGCTTCTGCCCATTCCCTCAGTTTCACTGAGATTGCCTATTGGTCCCAGGACTGAGGGAGGGGTGTTGTACCACCCTGGTCTGGCAGCTGTGCCCTGTGCAGAGTGGGAAAAGCTGTTTTCGGTTTGATACCAATCAGGGCCAGTTGTGTGAATGCACAGATAACCACTCAAAGAATGAGTTACAGGTATGCAAACAGACTTTCTTCTTTGTGGTCTCTGTGCATCACACATATAGGTGATTAGCAAGCTTAACCTTGAGAGAACAGTGAGATGGTGTTGTCACTAGGTAATTGTGGAGAGGACTGCTCCACTGAAGAAGCAGTCTGCCCTTATACAGATATCTAGCCTATAGTGTTTGATGAACTAGGAGGATGTGGACTATGCATCTGCTCTGCAAAGGTACTCCTGGCAGGGAGGACTGTGGACATCACTATCACTTATGTGGAGTAAACCCTTGAAGGACCAAGAGTTGTGGACCAGCCATCCTGTAGGCAAGGGAGATTATATTCATGATCCAGGCTGCTAACCTCTGAGCAGACAGAAGAGTGCTTTAGATCTTTTTGAAAGGACATGCACGGGAATCAGAGATGTGGTTGATCATGGTATTCTATGGAATAAGGAGGTCCTTTCATGTGAAGGTCGTGAATGCCTGCTATTTAGCTAGGTAAGACTTTCTTGTTGATGGCTTCAGGGCAGCATCATGTGTGGTTCTAAGCCCTGTGGCAGAGTATCAGCTGTGGGGTTTATGATGTAATGCACAATGCCATGAGGTATAGAATGTTCATGTCAGGGTGGAGGATTTTCTCCCAGTCTCATGGTATCAGGCCTGGGCTGTGAGGGAGACAGAAGAATGTCCCATAGCAAACTTGAGTGACCCACAGCTGCCTTGATCACCAGGGAGTGATGACAATACATTGTTTCTTGTCCTTGCTGATCTCTGGGAGCAGCTTCATGATCGGGGGAAGGGGAAGAATACTGTCCCCAATCAGTGGAGAAGGAATGCATCTCCCAGGAAGCTGGTCCCTTGTCCCTCCCAGAAGAAGAAAGTTGTGCAGTCCATGTTGTGGGCTGTGGCAAACAGGTTGACTGTTGGTTTACCCCATGTGTTGACAATCTCTTGAAGGGCTCTGCTGCTCAGTTGCCACTTGTACATATCAAAATTCAGTGTCTGCCACTGTGTTGCTTGAGATGGCCATATGAGTTATATCTCTGTTGATGCACTGGTGACAAGTTTTGTCAGTGGAATTGACAATGTTCCATCCTGCCTGTTCAGACAGGATCCCACAGTGGTGTTGTCTGTGGCTATCTAAACCTGGCATCCATATAGGGATACCTGAAAGGCAGTGGATGGTTAGCATCTTGAAGATACTGATGTGTCTGCAGGCTTCTTGCCAATTCCAGGTGCCCTGGCTTCTCATGTCATCACAGAGTGCTCCCCATCCTGATAGCAATGTGTCTGTGGTGATGATGATTAACAACTCTGAGGGTGAGAAGCTTTTGGCAAATTGTGAGTCGGTCCTCCAGTGATGGCTGTTCCTGGCAGATGGGAGTATGTCGAGATGTGTTTTATGTGGGATGTCAAATGTGCAAAATGTGTGGACAAACCGCAGTTGTAAGGGCCACATTCAGAAGGGAACCACATTCATGAAGGGAACCACTGCTGCAGTCACAACCATGAGTCCACAGCCATGAGGCCTTAATGGTCACTCTGGTGCTGAGTTTGGTGCCCATATTGATCAATACAGATGGTCTAGATCAGGGGTCCTCAAACGTTTTGAACAGGGGGCCAGTTGAAAGGCTGTGGTGACTCTTGCGGGCCAGTGAGGTGGGGGTGCCTGGGGGCACAGGCCAGTGAGGTGCCGTTGGGCACGCACGAGGCGGCATCAGGCGTGCGTGGCAGTGGCTCGCTCGGAGATCTCCCAGCAAGTCCAAAACCATCTCCGAGCGAGCAAGCCACCACCTCCCTGTCCAAGCAGCAAGCGCACATGCAGGTGGCAAAGAGTGGCGCAGGTTGGATGGATGGCCATGGTGGGCTGGATCCATCCCGCAGGCCATAGTTTGAGGACCCATGCTCTAGATGATAGAAGAGGAACTTCTGCTGAGGATGAGCTAAAGCAGCCCCTATGACTGACAGCAGTGGAGAACAGATTTCTCATGGTTACTACAGAGTCCCAGAGTCTATGGGAGAGGAGCAGGTGGTGTGAAAGGAGTGCAGTAGTTCCAATTTTAGACTGCATGAGTAGGAACCGATCATCAACATACAGAAAGACTTGTATGGAGGCACCTTGGAGGCACAGGTGTGAGCAGACCATTGCCATGCCTTTAGTGAGAGCCCTGGGGGCAGCTGAGAGCCCCAAGGGGAGTACAGAGAATCAGAACATCTCATCTCCAATCTGGAAGCATATGAAGTGTCTATAATTTTGATCTATGGTAATGCAGAAGCTAGGGAGAGATTTTATTTTCTTGGGCTCCAAGATCACTGCAGAAGATGACTTCAGCCAAGAAATTAAAAGAAGTTTACTCCTTGGGAGGAAAGCTATGGCAAATCTCGACAGCATACTAAAAAGCAGAGACATCACCCTGCCAACAAAAGTGCATATAGTCAAGGCTATGGTTTTCCCAGTTGCAAGGTATGGCTGTGAAAGCTGGACCATAAGGAAGGCTGAGCGCCGAAGGATTGAGGCCTTTGAATTGTGGTGCTGGCGGAGACGCCTGCGAGTCCCTTGGACTGCAAGGCGATCAAGCCAGTCAATCTTAGAGGAGATCAACCTTGGCTGCTCTTTAGAAGGCCAGATATTGAAGATGAAACTCAAATACTTTGGCCATCTAATGAGAAAGACTCACTGGAGAAGACCCTAATGCTGGGAACACTTGATGGCAAAAGAAGAAGGGGACAGCAGCAAATGGAGCAAATGGCTAGATGGAGTCACTGAAGCAGTTGGTGTGAGCTTGAGTGGACTCCGGGGGATGGTGGAGGACAGGAAGGCCTGAAGGAGTGTTGTCTATGGGGTCACGATGGGTTGGACACGACTTTGCGACTAGCAACAACAAAATGCAGAAGAAGGTTTCCTTTAAGTCGACTGAGGAGAACCAATTCCTTCTTGCAAGAGAAGTAGGATGTTCTGGAGGGTGACCATCCTGAACTCAGGGTGGTAAGTGACTGATGCATCTGAAGTCTCTCATCATTTTGGCACCATTAAGTAGCAAGACTTGAAGCCTTGGAAAAGGTCAGAAAGAGGGATCTCTGACCATTAGGGACAGAGCCATGCTCCTTCTTCCACTGAGAGGTGGTAAGGCATCAAACTCAATCTGGCAGCCTCTCTCCAATAAGACCCAGGAGTCAGATGTTCTGACTTCCCAAGTGGGAAGGAACAGAGACTGTAATCAAAACTGGTGGTGGGGGGAGGCTGCCTGGCAAGGGCAGTCCGCAATGGTGCTTGTCCCCTTCTGAGTGCTTTTCTGATTGATGTGGACCACGGTGTCATGCCTTCTGGTCTAGGGGGATGCTTGTGACATAGACATGCATTCAACATAGACCTTGTGGTAGTAAGGAGGTTGGGACCTCCCAAACCACTTATGAGGTCTGGTGGACAACTCATCCTCCTCACTCTCATCCTGGCCTTCTACAAGGAGTCCATGCACTCATCCATGTGCATGGTGAAGAAGTCCCCCCCCCCCATCAAAGAGGAGTTCTTCAGTGTGGTAGTAGGTCTCCTGTTGCAGCCCTGTGGAGTGTCATGCCTCCTGATGGCCTCTGAATGAACACCCGAGCCATTTCCCTGTAGCTGGCAGACGATTGCAGATGGCTCCAATTTTGTCTCATAAGAACAGCTGGTAGTGGGCCATAGGTGCCTTGTAGCTGGAGACTTAGAGACTGAGCATTGAAGCCATGTAGATACACCTCACCACATTGTCCAGGTCATTGCAATTGGCTCTGCATAGACTCCCTGATGACCAAGTTGGTCACAGGTGTTGGAAGATGAATGGAATGTCTCTTTCCAGTATTAGGATCAGTGGCATCAGAGATTGCCATTAGTGTTGCCTAGTAAGTACCAAGTGCTTGCAGAGGTGCTGCTGGGATGGATGTCACTGGCAGTTGCTGGATCTTTGTTGAAGTTGGTAGAGCTGGATGTCCTCTTAGAATTGAGAGTCATGGTATTCCCTGTGGGATGCCCTAGAGCCTCTTTGGAGATCAATGAGACACTGGTGATGAGTCAGAGGCATGGTTCCATTCCTGCTTGTCTGGTTCCAGCACTGGTGTCCTGTTCTGAAGAGATATGGGTAACAGGCCTGGATGCCAAAGCATCTGAAAGTGGTCAGGTGGATCACCTCAATGCAACTTCCTAGTGTGCTTGGGTTGGAAGTGAGAGAGGGGTGTCCTGTATTTCCCCTTCTAATCCCAATGCTGGCAGGCCTGGATCTTCAATACTGAGTGTTCAGGTTGTTCTAGGTTAGATCTGAACTTTCTGTTGGAATTGTCCAGGTTCTTGGTGTCTATGGTAGACAGGCCTCTTATGGCATCCACGCTCCTACTTGGTGGAGGCAGCTGTCTTTTTGTACACTTGGCCATGTGATCCTCTTTGGAGTGGTGAGGAATTTGGAGTCCATGGCTTCCAGGGCCATGGCACTCATTTCATAAGTCCTGTTTCCAGGCCTGTTTTGTGAATGTCTGGCAATGATACGTCCTTTGCCTAAACAAGAAAGGATAGAGAGAGTGCCCATCCGTGAAAGAGAAGTTTACTTCCACAATGGACACACTTTCTAAACGATGACCTTGATGCCATCATGGCAGATGGGGAAGGCAGAGAGAGAACTGAGAACGGACTGGTAAAAGGGCGCAAAAGATCAGAGAGAAAGTGAGTAGGAAAATTTACATATAGAGATATACCCGTATATTAGGATTTTACAAGGAAAAAGTGAAAACAAAGTTCATGGAGATGGTTAAAAAGGAGGGGAAAGTGGTAGAGAGAGAAATGTAATAAACACTGAAAATATACATAAGTTGAGGAGGAAAATGTTTCTCAATCTAGGTATGAAGGTGATTGTAAAGGAACTGGGGGAATGGGCAGGAGCCCCTCCCACAGATGCAGGGAACAGGAAGGAGAGACTCCTAACCAAATTAACACTTAGCTGTAGAATCTTCTTGACAACAGTCTCCATGCAGGTGCAGAGTCCTCATGTGTGATGTACAGAGCCCACAAGGAACCACTTTAAATCCCACTGATTCTGTTAAGGTCTTCTAATTAAAATTGAACCCAACCCAGAAAATTTAAGTGCAGAATACAGTAAAAATCTTCCTATTTCTGACAGGTCACAAACAAGATTGTTTAAATAATAAAAAAATAGGGTGCCATTTGGTGGATAATTAAACCTCTTTAGTTTGATTATCTACATCTCCAGTTGAAATCTTTCCTTCTTTACCATGGGACAAGTTAAAAATAATATATTTTACAATTTTCCAAAAAATTCTTTGTTTAGTAAATTTTTTGAATAAAATATTGTAAAGTACCAATAAACGATAATATAAACTAGCAAGAACCTCAACAGATTAATAAGCTAATGAACCTATAGGATATGAGCAAATACTATATTGCATATACTGGCACTTCTGAAGGGACTATTACAAGTTCTGCCAGAAGTTCCTGTTTCACTGATACTAAACCTCTGAAATGATACTTCTTTTATAACTGTGAAAGAAGCAATGCCTGATATTCATTTCCTGGGCACCTCCAAAGGAATATGAAATTTGCCTATACAAATACCATCTCTCAAACATGCTAGTACAACTGGCATGTAAACATATAGGGACTCATTCCATCATTTAGAAACCCCAAATGCAACATATTCCCTTATTACAATATATCTTAAAGAAACTGATACTAGATGCAACATTCATTATGATGTGCAGTCAAGACATACTAACTGATGTAGCTTTTAAAAGTCAATGATGCACACACTCAAAGTGACAATATGAAAGAAGTGAAAGAAAATGGTAACTATGTCTTTAATTAAGTATACCACAGCATCTGTGACAAGATGGAGAATTTGGGTTTCACTAATTAAAAGGGTAAGGTTCAATCCAGCTAGACCTGGCAGTATATCAGGTACAAGTAGAATATAATATCAGTATATACACGATGAAATGACTGTTCACAGTCTCTAAGATGCACCTAGGGTCATGATAAGATAGTGGGGGTGGGGAGGAATATAGAACCTAAAACAATTTCACTGGCTAGTGGAATCACTAAACATTTGCTTAAACTGTGTAATGGAGTATCAGTATTTACAATCGAACACCATCCCCATTATCAGAATGAGAAAAAAATCTGACATGCATAAGCTTAGCATGGCACAGCTCCCATAAAGCTCTTAGCCTTCAATATTATTCACTGCCCTAATTTTAACTCATATTTTTTCTATTTATTAAAAAATAAAAAGCATGTTTTATCTAACATGTTAAAGCACCCCTTCTCCCTGTCTCCATATATGTTTATGTTGAAAAAAAGTAAATGTGGAAAAGCACCTCAAGCAGCTGAGAGAAGGGTGAGGCAGAAAGCTTTTCAGAAGGTACATTATCTTTCACAACAGTGCCCTCTGCTGTCCACAAGGTAGCTGAAGTGAAGGCAGATTTCATGCTAGTGGAAAAACCCTCCTTACTAAATAAAATTGATGCTATCTCCTCTTCTAGGCTCTAGACAGGTTAGAAAACGGAAAGCAACGAATTAACAGCAGAAGACAAAACATCAGTGACCTACAAAAGAAAGAAAACATCAGGCAAGAAAAGAAACAAAGGACATACAATGGGGAAAGTACAGAAAAGAATAATGCACTACACTTTTACGACTAAAAGACTTTAAAAAATTAAACATAGTATTTAGGGAAGTTCCACTACGTGTCTTACTTCTTTCTCTTACTACTTTTAAAACTGTAGTGTATTAAATTGAAACCTATGTGAAATTGTAACTGAACATAGATTTTTGTAATAAATGTCTTCTACCAAAAGAATTCTATACAATTGAGAAGCTACTAATACTATTGCTCCAATAAGTCACTATATTCCACTTTTCTGATATTAAAAGGCCCTGTGAACTTTCCCCCCAAAAGCAGTGTATTTTAGTTATTGATAATGTTTTTCCAGCTTAAAAACATGTCATTTGTCTCCTATCACTCTGGCTTACAGCAAAGATACTGAGAAACAGAATTTATTGATGCTACCATTATATCACAATACCAGGTGGGTTCAAATGTGATAGCAATCTATCATGGTAAGAAACCATGATAGGTTGCCCTGAAGTGCCAAGCAGCTATGAGGAGCCAGACAGATGATGAGCCTGCCTCCTTTCTTTTCATTCCTCTAGCCAATATCCCAGGAAAAACCATACAGAAGAACAAGGATTTTCTATTTGGCAGCTGTTATGGTGACTGGAGTTTGGCTCTCTGGGGTGTCAAGCAATCGCTTCTGTGCAAATGGGTTCAAGTTTCTGAAGCACAGCAGAGAGGATATGGAAACTAATCCAGAGATCTCTAGAGCAGGAGCCTCGAGTGTCTGATCTTCTCCCATGTGTGTGCTGGGGTGGTGATTCAGTTTGGCAGTTCTACTGAAAAATCTACCACTTGTGCCTGAGAGGGAGCCTTTCGGATGCAAGTTGGGGGGCGAGGGCAGCTTGGAGGTGGCTGTGCTCAGCTGATTTTCCCACCCTAGCCTTAGAAGCTTTCTCTTTCTCTCAAGCAGGAGCAGGGAAGCAGGGCTATGCAAGGCAAGGAAGATCCCTTCTTGAGGGCCCCCTCCCAGACTAGGCCTTCCCTTCTCCACTTATGCTGCTGAGAAAACAACTCAAACTAGAGCTAAGAAGGGGAAGCATGAGCTACACATTTTCACCATCTAAATGCTATTCTAACCTCTGGCCTCCTCTTGCCTTCTATAATCCTCTGTGGTTCCAGGCTAGACTGTATTATTGCCCTTCAGAATGGAAAACAAGAAAGGACAATTCACATTCTATTCAAAATGTTAATGTACAGAATATGCTACCACCAAATCGTATATTTAATGGACGTTAACTTCTGTGCTAACAGCACTATTATTCTCACTAATTGAAGGAATTATCAACTTGCTGCTCAACTTGGTGTCTCTTTTATCCGGATTATACAGTATTTAAACTGAGATACACTATTTATTCTTTATATCTACTTGTTACTGACAAAATGCCCTTAAATGTAGCACATTAATGAAAAGAAAATCTTGATTTTCAAAATTTATATATACAATATTTTGTAACTATTCTGTCACATATGCTGTGTCAGGCAACAACAGATGAAAGTATTACTGAAGAGAAACCCAGAGAAAGAGGTTGAGGCAAGAACCAAGCATTCTTCAGCCAGGAAAAAAAAATCTTGCCATTGCACTGACTGAAGACTGGATACAACTTGAATTGCTCTATCTCATTTGACAATAGAGGCAACATATACCTACATATTAATCATCAGACAGTGTTAATTAGAGCCTCATTTTTTGATGCAAGAACTTAGTGAACATTTAAGAGGATCCTGTCTCAACATTACTGAATGATTGCAACCAATGTCAATATATAGTAAGAGAAATCAGTGTTAACCTTTGTGCATGGGAAGATCATTTCAGTCGTAATATTATGATCCTTCCACATGTTCAAGTAACTTGAGTGTGACATAGAAACTATGCCAGTTTTAACTTTTTGAAAAACAGTTACCTATTGTAATTTGCTTTTTATTGCTATTAGTCATGCTGACTTTCATTTGATAGGATACAAATTTAATGAACAGGTAATTACAAAGCAACCACAGAGCCATAATCCTTTTGGAAGGTGCATAACTGAAAGGGTAAGGTTTCAGGTTGCCACATTTATAATCTCTTTATGTTCCTTTGGCACCATGTGATCTTCAGAATCCAATGAAGGCAGATTCCTTCTCTTTTTAGTATTTGTAGTGGGAATTTTAAAAATTTTCGAACCAATGGAGAAATCAATGGGAAAGAAATTAAGCAAATAGCATCACACAAACATGAACACCAACAACACTGAGAATAGAAAATGGAATACCATTCAGAAGCACAGGCATGGAATTGTGATCCTTTTGTACTGAAATCCCACATTACCACCACCACGCATACAAAATCTTGAAAGGTTGGCTATTATGCAATGCATTTCGTCTGAGGAAAGCTGGGGTAGTAAAAGCCCTGCTTTACCAACACATTCAAAGTCTTTCTCCTTTGGCAAAGACAAAAGGTACCTTTCAAACTTGGAGAAAAACATGTATGCCACCCATGCATTATATACTGAGTAGTAATTCATTCATGTACATAGAAAGTACATGAAGGAACTACTAATGGCTTGGCTGCACACAACCAGAACTATTTATATAGCAGGAATTGTTTAGGTTTTACAGATATTATAAACACAAAGACATCTCCACAGTGTGCTACCAGTATGGCTGGTCAAGAAGTACTGAAAAACCTACACAATCCTAGTACATAAGCAGTTTTGCCTAGTCAGCAGGTTACTTGGGTGTCAGTGATTTCAAGATTACTGCACTGATGCAGATTGAAAATGCATTTGAAAAATATTGAGGAAAATTTGTAATACCGTGTTTTATTCCTGATATTTGTAGTCCATTTATGAACCCTTTCTAACAAAAAAACCTGCTTAAGAAGCAAATTTCTAATGGAATTGAATAAAATATATATTTTATTCCTCGTTCTTGGGACAACTACACCTGAAAATTTTGCATGTGATAACTGCAAACTAATAGAATAGGGGCATTTAGAGATACCTGTATTAAAAGCCCATAAAGCTGTTAATGCTTTATGTTGATGAATGACATTTTAATGTTATAACTCTCATCAGATAGGCATAATTGTATTACTTTATTCTGATTTTCAGTTGTCAAACAGAAAAGTGGTTCTCCTAAATGCAACAGGCATAACAATTATATTTCTTTCAGGATTAATATGTTCTTTTTTATTCACCAATTTTGAGGCTTGCCTCTTGAGTAGGGAGAGCTAAAAATGTTGCTTTCCTCCCACTGCTTTTCTTGCTACATTTACTTCCTATTTACTACAAAGTTACCTAGGGCCAAGAGAAGATGCTTAGGATCTACTGCTAATGGCTATTCTACATACATTAAACAAGATGAAAATTCTAAAATGTTATGCTTAGTGACTTCTTTCTTCCTCACTATTTGTGAATAGAGATCAACACATGCATACAATGTTAATGAGTATTAGCTGCAAATAAGTGTCATATTAGCAGTAAAGAAACTTCTCATGTTTTCCTTATTAATGTTGGAATATAATGCATATTTTAACTGCTTTCTTAACACTATGGCTATGCATGCTGACAAGGGTCTTCAGAGACATACCCCTTGTGTCTGTTGAGACAGAGGTGTGATACGCCGTTTTTCCCATTCATTGGGGCGTGGCTCAGGTGAAGATTCCATAAAATTGCGCTTGAGTTCACTAATGCTAGCCTGATGCTTCAGTAATTCATCCTGGGTCTTATCCAGGTCCTAGCAATGTGTAATGTAAAAAAGAGCAGGACAACATATGACAAATACAAACCATTGAAAAAACCATGAAAAGTGCCTGGCATTCAAAGATTCAAGTAGGATTCAATTAAAAATATTAGATTTTTAAAAATATCTCTGGAAGAGAAATGTTTTGATCTTAACTCTATCATGCTGATGAAACTGATGCAATAGAAATATGTAATGTTTGGCATAGCAGAACAAATTATTTATTTTAACTGTTGCTTGAAATTAAATAAACATTTGCTATTCTCATATTAGCTGTGATATTATATATGCAAATCTTTTGTAAAAGCTTTTATATTAATACTACACACTTAGCTGCAATGCAGAGATTATAAAGTTTATGAGGAGCAAAGCAATGTGTTGAACAGGTGCACTCGGCCACATTTTATATCTCCTTCAGTGCCCTTTTACTACCTGCTGCAAAAGAAATCAATGCAACTGACACATGTTCACACAGGCTTATGTTATAATCTACCTAATCTACCAAGGAACCCTATTGTGCAGCTTCTGTAGAAGCCACAGGAACCTGGCATTTGCACCATGATAAATGAATGAACTGGAGCATTAGGAGAAAATCACTTTCTTCAAAGAATACGCCTTCCTTAAAGAAAGTAGAAGCCAACTATTAAAATTAGTTGGATAATTTGTTCATTTTATTGCTAGTAAAATATCAATCTCTATGCATCCTTGAGGAAGAAACTGTTGATTGTAAAGCCCCTGCTAGTGAAAGCCAGGCCTGACCACTCAGTGCCAGAAAAGGAAGGTCTGCCTTCACAGCAACAGTATCTCTGCTCAATACACTTGCATCGTTCACCCACAGAATTTCATGGCAACAATTTGCTACATAAAAAGTAAAGGGGCTGTTACAGGATATTTAGCTGGAAGGGCCAAACGTGTTCCTTGTCTCAGTCCCGGGCATCAATGAATCTATTGTAAGGAGAAGTGTTAGGTGCCACTGTTTCCACGGGGAAGTTTGACAGCCATGTGCCTACACTCTGCAGGATCCTCACAGAAATGCAGTGAGAATCTGGGCAACTTGCTTAAGAATTTCTTTGAGAAATAGTGAAAGCAATAAGCATTGTTTTAGGAATTCACTCACATGTCTCCCACTACAATTTCCTCTTATGCATGAGGCTGACTTCTGTACCACTTAAAAGTGGCATTTCATTCTGAAAAAAGATATCCACCTGCACAATGTGGTGGTGGAAAAATCTCTTCCACAATGCATTAGCAGGTCACAACTGAAGGCACTTCAAGTCTACCCCTCTAGAGCTAACAGGACTGCAAAATTCTGTGTCGTAATCCACCCAGAGAACTCTGGCTATTGGGCAGTATAGAAATAAACCAACACACCAACAAAATACTATTCTTATATGTCCCATATTGTACGTAATTCAATCAAGTTCATAGCCAGCTTTCAATCCTAACCTTCTGTTAAGCTTGTGGCATTGAAGCCTTGCCACCAACAGCACATGTGGCAGGGAAGATTGCAGAGACAGACAGCATACATGTTAGGGAAGAGTGCTTGGGAGAAAGGCAAGTACTGAGAGAGTAAGATCATGCCAAGTGGATAAAACAAGGTGAAAGACAGCGTGGCGGGAGGACATGTTCCATAAAATGCTGAGGAGACTGGATGTTACATAATGACATTCAATGAACCAAGTGCTTGTCTGTAGATCTAGAAGCACAGCAATGTATAGCAATGTAAGCTGTACAAGTGTTAAGTACAAAGAAACAGTTTCAAGGGGCAATTACGCTTTTAGTGGCAACCTAAATAAGAGAAACTTAATCATTTGAATACAGATTTATCAGAACTCGAGGAAATACTGTATTTTAAGAATAATTTTGGGTTGACACCAGGCAGATTTCTTGGATTTGTTCAGTACATGGTTATGCAGTACACTTTACAAAGTTTTAGCAAGTTATATCAAGTATATTTTTAGTTATCAGAAGCTTCCAAAAAGCAACAGAACATATTAGTAAAGTTAATATAAATCTGCAGGTATTCACATTATATTCTTGCATGTTTCCAAATTATTCTGAGCTTATCTAAATCTAACCATGGGAACAGCCCTATCTGGATGATAAGACTTGTTTTCTTAGATCACAAACTAGATTTGTTAGTTTGTTTAAAAGTTATCTTGTAGTAATTAAACTATATTTACTGACAGGTTAAGTTGGCAAAAGAATCTCATATTCACAGTTCATCTCAAAAGCTCTTATCAAATAATGTCTCCTCGTATCACAAGATTATTCCAGAGTGAAACAATTATTTTAATATGGAATTAAGGTTCTGCTCTCTAGGAAGGTGGCCCATGTTTAAAAAGAGATGCCCAAAAATTAGTTTTGGGAAGAAACATCCTGGTTCTAACATCACCGCATCATTTTCTGCAGACTGTTCTGTCTCACATTTCCAGTCAGGTTTAGGAAATGAGAGAAGGAAACATGTGATATGCACACTTCCATAAAGCAGGATGTTGGTCTAACAAGTTATATTTTCTGGAAATAACATCTAAACAGGGCTATGTCCCACTCACCACTGAAAAAATGTTTTAACAACTATATACTTAAATCTATTCATTTATAGAATGACTAAGATTTCCAACATGCATGCCCAGCTTGAACGTTCCCATGCATTACATGCACCGTGCCTAGAACAGCCTGCAAGTGACCTCCCATTTCGTGCAGCCTGGCAGCCCATGAGAACAGAAAATCCCCCTCAGATTATACAAACCTCCAACATTAAATTGCTATGTCTGACATAAATATTTTCCCCATTTACTCTCAAGGAATAAGTCTGTGAAATTAAAGCACACAACAAACAAAGAGAGAAAGGAAGAAAACCCATGATCATCAAGACAACAAAAAAGTGCTTAAAAGCTCATTCATGAGGGCTTTAAAATTAAACAAGGGTGGCCACTGTGCAAACATAAGCTACAGAAGCTTCAAGCACTGATAACGACAGGCAACAATAGGATTAAATTGAAAATATCATCCACCTTCTTGTGAATTTCCTCCTCTTCCATCTCTGCCTACGTAATGGAACCACCCAAATGTCAGCAAAAGAAAACACTCATTAGTGGAAGCTATAGAAGTAGCACAGAGGCTTTGTTTGGAAATATTGCAAACAATGTGCTCTGTTTACAAACCTTTATTGTTTGGGTCTCAGATGCTGCTCAAGTTATTAAACCACTGCAGTCTTCCACCTACAGCACTGTAGAAATGACTGAAGTAATTTTTGGTATAGATGAAATGGCAAATGGGATATTTGTCTGTCTCTCTACAACCACAGTGTTCATTTATTTTTTCTCTGCAGTTTGGAAGAATTTTTACAAACAAAAGCTGACAAGAATAGCCTCGGTCTTGAACACTATGATACCAATGCATTTAGAATAAAGTTTGTAATACGAATTTAAAGCTACAAATTAATTTTGGGCAAATTACATTTGTATTGTTAAATATTTAGCAATAACACAAAGCATTCAAACAATACTGTTTGTATTCCTCACAAGACTGCTAAACATTAAATAAAACTTACAGGTTTGATTCCAAAGTAACAACTAATGATGGTTTGGGACTTTGTGAATGAGTTTTTATGCTCTTGCACACTTCAAACATTCTAATTCAATTTATTTTTTATATATTTATATTTATATGTATATATATATGTGTGTATGTATATGTGTGTGTGTGTGTGTATATATGTGTGTGTGTGTGTGTATACACATTGCGGTTTATATCCTGCCTTTTTCCTACAAAGGGCTCAAGGCAGCTTATATCATCTCTCCTCCTCCATCTTATCCCCACAACAACAACCCTGTGAGGTAGGTTGGGTTGAGAGTCTGTGACTGGCCCAAAGTCACCCAGTTGACTCCATGGCTGAGTGGGCACTAGAACCCAGATCCTCTGAGTCCCAGTCCCATGCTCTTAACCACTACACCACACTGGCTCTCATTACTTCTTAGTTTTAATTACTTCTTTGGCATAAACTATAATTTGCTGTTACAGAGAAACCAGTGGACAATGCTTTGTGTACCTGTCCTCCAAACCAGGATTGCAAACCAGTTTGAAGGTGACTGGCAATTCTGGTATTGAGTAAAAGTACAAACCATAGCTCAGTGGTTTCAGTGCAATGACAAGCTATTGTTTGAACCACAAGAAAAAGTAACCCATTCAACCAGAGCATGTGAGAAGGACTGGGAATGCACAAGCACAAAGTCTAATGAGTTAAATAGCCCTCCTCCTGTAAAGGCCAGGAAATAGAAATTGGAAACTTTTGGTCAGCTGCAGCTTATCATGTCAAATGAACCCAGAACTATGTTCAATTTTAACTATGCTTAAACAAAGCAGCTTCATAAAGCACAGTTTTTTCATACAGTATGAGAGGGGGAGCATGTGATCGCTACATTCTTCGTGTCATGCTAAACCATAGCTTAGTATGGCATCTGAACACAGCCAGTATCTGCTTTAGTATTTCTTCTTGTCTTGTTGGCTGTAATAATTCCTGAATAAAGGCATGCATTTTTACCTAAGACATAGTTATAAATTATAGTTATAGTGATGGGCAGTTTTCTCACAGTGAAAATCTAGGTTTTTAAGAGGCAGTTTCCAGCTTTAAAATACCATTCAAGTTCACAAATATTTTATACTACATTGTGTTTGTTACATGGAAAACAGACATGATCACCAGTCAAAGCAGATAGTGAAAAGAGTTAGAATAGTGACTTTTTAAAAACCCTACATAATAATGTTAAATAATTATTTTGCACGCTACTAAGGTAGAGACAACTTGTCTTCAAATATAATGATTATTTTAGGCAAAGAGAAGGTATGCTACAGTAACATATCTTTGCACCTGCCAATGTAAGAAGCCCTATTTAAAATTTTCAAAATAGTTAACTTTTCCCTTTACCCTGCCTTCCACCACGTATATCCCTCAAGCATTCACAATTTCATTTCATTGGTTGTAACAAAATTTCAAAACATGTGACCAGTTACAATGAGATACAATAGTTTATTCAATTCAAGAATGAAACTTGGATTTCTGTGCCTCTCCTCTACTTCAACTCAGCTGCAAAGAGATTAGAAATTTTCATAGCTAGCTATATTAGTATATGGTTTATTTCCAAAATTCTGTTTAATCTAAATTATGATTTCTAGTGATAAACCAGCTTCATAAACCATAGTTTGAAAAAGACTTGTTTCTCTAAACCATAGTTAAGGGAAACCATAGTTTATCCAGGTTTAGACATAAGGTTTAATTGGGATCTGTTAAAAATGAAATAAAAGCTTCCAATCTCCTCCTTGCAGCTGCAATGGAGGGACAGGATGAGTACATAAGCCTGAGGCATATTCATGTAATGATAAACTATTACTTACCATTATGTCTAAAATATGTCGGGTATTTGTTAGTGAGGAGGACCTAAAATTGGTAGTGGGGGGAATATGGGTTAAGGGACTGCAGGGGCTTATGCCACCTCTGTAACCCCTGTGCTCTCCATAAACTCCACTCTTACCAAAGGTTGGGCAGGAGGCAGAGAGAGTAATCCTAGGTAACTGCGGGATTCCTCTGTGCTGTTCTGCATACAGCAAATATAAGCTAATGCAGTAATGACAGGGACAGCTGGTTCTGCCTCAAGCTTGCCTACCCTGTTTCCTTCACTGCTTAGGAGGAAGCTGCAGAGGAATGAAGAGGACTCTGCAGGTTTGACTTTCAAAAAGTCCCTAAAATAGTTCATATTCATGTGTCCAAAAATCTCTTTAAATATAGTAGCAAGTGGATAAAACAATTTATCTTTTAAAGCACATCTACTGAATATAGAGATGTCCAAATATCAATGGAAGGATTTTTAAAAAGTAATTTATGGCCTCATCCTGCAACTATACAAGGCTGATTGTACCTTTCGGTGCACCAAAGTCAGTCTACGTGAAAATGGTATTTAGGCAACAAAATTACACACCTCTTCCTTCTCAGTTTTTGCTTTTAGGGGAGTGTCATTAGAGGCACTCAGAGGAGCTGTCTTAGGTTCCAGGTAGCAGAGGGACAGAGCAACAGGAAGGGACATTGTGAGTGAGAAAGGAATAGACTGGAAAGCAGAGAGAAGCAATACAAAAGTGAGGAAGAAAGAAGGAATAAATGAAGGAGAAGTAAGGGGGACGTATTGCTGAATGCCAGATGGGAGGAAGGAGATGCAAACCTCTGGAAGGCTAGGAAAGCTAATGTAACCATCCTCATCAAGCAAAGAAGGAAAATTTAAAGAAAAAAAATTGCTTAAATTGAATTGAAAGCTAGATGCAGTATTTTCATAGTCAGTATTTTTATGAACTCCTCTTTCTACTGCAAAAGGAATACAATGGCCAGTCACCAAAAGATTCAAACGTTCCATGCTGTTATTTGAGGACTTCTCTTTGTTTCTACCATAGACTGGTGTTTCTTTCCTAGGACTGCCATCCTTGCTCTCTGAGGGTGTATACACAAGCTTACCCAAGCTATCATGCTCTGAAATGTCTGAAAGCATGCCCATTTCAGGGATAGCAGATAGGTTTGGCGGGCAGGATGAAACAGAGTGAATGGCAAATGAAAGTTGAGGCATGTATACCAGCTAAAGAGAGAAAAGAAGTCCAACCACAGATGCAAATGGACCATGAAATAAATGTACATTTGCAGGTAGAAGGAATGCGTAAGAGAGGGGGGAAAGAAACCTGTTAGTGAGAACACGTACTCAGAAGTGGAATAGCATTGCCATTACAATAGGAGTGACACTAACATTCATAAACCCCATTTGTTTTCTTTTCAACCAACATATAATCCAAATATTTGGATTATACCAACTCAGAATGCTTTTTGTTGCCTCATTTTAAGGCTGTTAAGAGCTCTGTAGCTTGAGCTTGTAGTAATGCAGATACAGTGAATGGAAGCAGAGGGACATTTAAAGCTTCAGCAGAAGGTGTGCAGCAGAGAGAGCAAATAATGACAGTGTTTCAAATTACAGATTTCACTAGTGTTTCTTTGGAAATCTTAAAGAGCCCAAGAAATACCCACTACTTAAAAATCAGATCTGTAGGACAGATAAACATTTAGAAGTTCAAATATCTAACCATCAAAATGCAAATACCTAATATACTGTAGATTAGTCAGTGGATTACAACATAACAGGAAGATTATATCAGTTTTCTAATGCTTCTTATGTGGATCCAGGAGTGTTACATTCCAGAAAATAATAAAACTAATGCATTTCATAACTGTACATAATATCAAAATGAAAACAGACTTAACTTTTAATATTTCTAAGTTGATTTAGCGCAACATCCATTTGAGAATCAATTACCAATTCTTGTGCTTAAAGTGAATTAACTCTAAAAGCTATTATCAAAGGTATGTTTAACACCTAGCTAAGTTTTTCCTTGCACAGAAGAATGTGGAAGCTGTTACCAAATATAAAACGTACATAGTGAGACTACAAATAAATCATAACAATGAATAAAGTATGTACATTGATTTTACTCAAACACAATTGTATTTTTAAAAGATCCAGAAAATTCCAAGGCAAATTTGCATCAACTCTGTCCTACACTACCCAGTGTTAGAAAGGAACAGATACTAGGAAGTCTGACTCACTTGAGTTTAATGGATTTTCTCCCTACTTCCAAACTGATGATCAGAAGTAGGTCAAAAAGGTTCCTCCCACCCCCACATAATTACATCTCTAAGATGGCTACAAATTGTGCATTTCTTTAAATAATGCTATGGAACTTCCTACAAATTGCGCAACGTGGAAAGTTATGCAACATGCTTACATTACAATATTTTGCATATTTATGCAACCTATGCAAATTGCTTTTAGTGGCTTTGGCTGTGCTTTTTTCAAATGGGCAAATCTCACCCTGTCATCTCTGGTTCAACACATACCACAGTGAGTTGACACCGGCACAGGACTGCTAAACCAGAATGTTGGAGCCAAATTGTGAAAATCTGTAATCCTTTATGGGATTCCCCACACATCCTTATCTTGAATGAGACTACAGGGCAGCACATTCTTTTCTCTCAAGCAGAGAAGAATGTGCAATCTCTTTCTGCTGCCAGCTACATTCTAAAAGCAACAGCCAACATCATCTGATAAAAGGGAGATTCAGGAAGCTGCCTCCTCTGCCCTCTTCCCTCCTTCCCCAGCTGATGGGGATGGAAAAAGCACCACAAATCAGGATGGAAGCACCTTTCCTGAGCAGGCGCTCTGCCAATAGAAGGTATCTTTGTCTGATTTTCAAGGATTCCCACCATCTCCCTCTCGTTGGAGTCCATCCAATTCAGGAGAGTCCTTCAATTTTTCAGAAAACTTGCACCTGCTGGGGGAAAGGCTGGTAACATTAAGGGCTCCCTCTGCCAACATAATATTGGCATGTCACCCTAGGGAAGATAGTTTTCAAGTAATCTGCCCTCTAACTAAGGTTCAGACAAGTGCATGACCTCTCACTTTATCTTTTTGCACCCATTCATTCTAAGCCCCATTCCAACTAGGCAGGCCACTCAGTGCTTAAAAATGGCTGCAAAATTAAAAGATGTAAAGTTCATGTGACACTCTAGTTAAATTGATTTTCAAAATGTACTATTTCTACAATACTGACACACTTTAGTAATCATACCTTTCCATCTTCAAATTGTGGCATTTTAGCTATGCTTCCATCCACATCTCTACCTTCCCCATCTTTTAATTTTGATTGTCCAGCTGCTTCAACGATTCTATCACCAGTGGGTACCATTGCTGCAGCAGAGAAATCCTTAAGCAGGCTTTGATCTGGGATACCTACTGGAGCTATAAAAATAGGTTTAATTAATTCATCTGTATGAGAGTGAAATGTTTGACAATACCCAATTTATTATGAGAAAAAGATGGTCTATTTTCTAAAGGTTCTAGTGTACTCTCATTTCCTTTTTCTTTCTTCCTTTTCAAAAATAATCTTAAACCAAGACAACAACAGAAACGGGACAGGGTACATCATATGAGAATAACATGGTAAAATGAAAAACACATTAAGCAAAGCAGAATTACATTTTGAAACAAAAAAGGATACACTCACATATGCGCCTTATCTAATTTTCAGAATGCTGAAGTTTGAGAATAAACAGTAGTATTATACATAGTATAAACGTTACTAGAAACATTTTGTACTTTCATATATAAGCGCAAAACACGTATGTATTAAGAGCTGTACTGACAACATTTATATAACACTAAGAACAGATACAAACTGAACCAAGTAATCAAAGTATTTGAATAACTGAAGTATGGTTTGATGATGCCAATTCTAAAATGTATTTCAGAGATGCATTAAATATTACCCTGCTACATTTACTTAGAGCACAATCCTATGGCGATGTGTATAAGCTGCCAAACCTGGAGGCTCACTGTCCTCCAATGCAAAGTACAAGAAGAGCAGAGACCTCACCTCCCCATATCCCCTGGTTCTGCATTTTAGCAAGATTTGGACTACTTAGCGATAGCAATTCAGATAAGGGAGGAAAGAAGCTAGAGCGGTTTCAGGACACCTTCCATCCTTGCTGCTCTCCTGTCTACCCACCCCCACAACATATCCTCTGGCCCTTTTCTGAGGTTGTTTTTTTTGACCTGTGAGAGCAGCCAGTGGAATTCTTTCCATACTGCAATGGAGTAGGGATGGAGGGGATGGAAGTCCCATTTCCAGGTCAAAGAGAAGAATTTTCCCTGGATGAGGGAAAAGTGGGTACAAGATATCTAAGTAATCACTAAATATTAATACTTTCTACTATTTATAATAGTTAAAACATGTTTTCTCTTACCATTCTATCCACTTTAAACAGAATATAAACCATTGCATTTTAGTTAATGATACGTTAAACCATTTCAACACATATTGCTTTTTTAATAAGTGTGACTCAATTTTATGTTTACATTAAAGGCCTAATTTCAAATCTTTATCGGCTGACTGTGCCACATGTTCCTGGCAGACATGTCCCAGAAGGCACTTGCTGATCAGCTCCATAACAGCAGATCTATTTTCACTATCTCTGCAGAAACCAAACCAGCACCAAGGAAGCAATCCTAGAGAAACATTTATGAGAGTATATCTAGTTGAATACAGTAAAATTTAGGTTTGTATAAACATGCACAGAATTTTGTTGGTGGCTGAACATCTAACGTTATCAAAGACTTTCATACATTCCTATGGGCTAAAGAAAAACATGTTTGCTTCATGGGTTTCCAGGCACAGGTTCAATGGAAACTCTTAGGCAGGGCTCTCATTGTTATTGTGCTTGGAATTTCAGGGACTGGAAAAATTTGCTGAATACTGTTGTCCCTTTCTGTGGTAGCTATGAATTTGAAAGCAAGCCTGAAAGAGGTGCCACAAAAAGAACAGGGATGCAAAGAAATGTGGTCAGTTGGCAAGTCTGGAAAACAAAAAGGATGAATGAATTTAAAAGGTTTCCAACACCTTCCCTCTACCTAATGCAACATGCTTCTGGAAGTGCCAGACATTTTCTGATTCTAAGGAACTCTGGCCTCAATAGACTTCAGACACCACAAATATAAATTCCTCTGCTTCCTGATTTCCTCCAACCAAATGCTGCTTTGACATTTGAACTGGAAAACTAACCATACTACCAAAATTCATGACATGAAAATCTAATAGAGACCATAACTGTTTCATTCAAGTACTAAAGCAACCTATGAATAGAGATAAGCTAGAAGATAGAAAAAGAAATCTTTATGAGAACACTGCATATTTCTGATCTTCTAGTTGTCTAAACTGAGAGCCAAAATTATGTATGGAGTATTAGTTTCTGTGAAACTCTTACCACCATCAAGACTTCTGGAAACACGTTTGCTTGAAGTGCGTTCAAAGTATGGAGCAGGTCTGTCTATGAGATTGCTAGCTTGTCGTGTCTGTGCTTGAGTACGTCCACTGTAGCGGAACTTAGAACCCAATGTTAGGAATTTGGCCTTTGGAGGTTGTTCTGGTGATACAAGTCTACAACCACAAAAGAGGACCATCAATATTTTTAGAAATATATTCAAGGTCATAAAAAGATACTATATTACAGTGGAATATATCCAACTCATTTTCAGAATAAAAGAAAATGTGGCATTTTTTGTATGTACTTTATTCCATAAGTATTTCATAATACACAAAACTGTCATGAAGAAATTATAACCTGTATTCCTGAAGTTCCTGAATTTGAATGCTTGTGTAGCATCTGTGTTCGATTAAAACAAGAAGGGGGTTCAAAAGTTTGTTTCCCCCATCTTCCTCTGCAGGATTACTTCATATTTTAACCCCTACAGTATCCTTGTAAGTTATCTCATAAAAGCTATTAGCCAATAAATAAATACATAAATATGGCCTAGCAGACAAATGGAGAAATCTGGCGTTTACATGACAGCCTTGCTTCCATGCTGGACACATGAAAGAAACCAGTCTTCTCCCTTGCCTACATGGAATTCTATGAATTCAGCTGCATATACTTCTTGGTTGCCTATAAGCTATTAAACTATAGCTTAAACACAAGGCTACCCTACAGACACTATCAGAATTAATGTGACTTATTCCTCATTACAACAAGGAGAGTAGCTAGCCAAGGTAGTTAATCCCTCCACAAAAAATAAATATATCAAAATTGGATGAGTTCCATTAATTTTGCGTATTTGTCATGAATGATAAATTTTTCAAACTTTGTTCAATATTTCACGCTGACCTGGCACAATTTTAATTTTATGGTTGAATGGTTCATGAACTTCACAGTATGTTTGCATGTTTTATAAGAGTATATTCTCGGGGCCAGTTTCTCCCTCTGTAAGGGTGTGGGCCCTATTAAAATAGTCCACCCCAGAGTCTTATGGATCCGGATGGTTTCCTGAGGACTCTGGGGGATTTTCTGGTTGATAAAACTGGCACTCCTGTTGATACCCTGTTGATTGTGAAATGGGGAAATGACTGGGGCAATCGACATGATCATTCCTAAGCATCCTCTCCTGTCTGCGTGCAGAGCCCACTCGGCACTATGGTATATGCCTGAGCTGTGGCCAGTGAAGCAGGCTGGAAGACGACTAGTGCGTAGGTGGAGGAAATCCCAGGACGAATCTGACCGATCACAACTTAGAACTCATTATCAAGCCTATGCTGTGGAGGTGAGAGTGGCAAAGAAGGAATTCTTCTCCGTTTACATTGCATCCTTACAGTGCCATCCAGCTGAATTTTTTTGGGCAATGCATGGCCTATTACATTCTGGCCCTAAAAAGGATCCTATTGCACCACGCATAACTTGCTGTGACGGCTTTGCCCAGCACTTTAAGGGTAAAATCACTCAGATTCACTACCAGCTGGACTCCACAGTTGATATGGTCCTAGAACGGGGATCATCTAGAGCACCATCTGGTTCACCTTTATTGGATGAGTTTCAATTGTTGCGGACTGAGGATGTGGACAAGGTGCTTGGATTGGTCCAACCCAATACCTGTCTACTTGACCCTTGCCCCTTGTGGCTGCTCACCAAAGCCAAAAACAGGAAAAACACCTGGGTCCAAAAGGTCATCAACACCTCCCTGAGAAAGGGTCAAGTTCCCACCCCTTTGAAGGAAGCAGTGATCAGGCCTGTCCTAGAGAAGGCATCTCTGGACCCAGATATTGGCTGGTGGCAAGGTGCTCAAGCGGGTGGAAGTGGGGCAACTCTAGGCACTCTTGGATGAAACTGATCATCTTGACCCATTTCAGTCTGGCTTCAGAACTGGCTATGGAACTGAAACTACCTTGGTTGCCCTGTATGATGAGCTGCACAGGGAGAGGAATGGGGCAGTACGTCCCTGTTGGTTCTCCTGGAACTCTCAGCATCTTTCGATACCATCAACCATGGTATCCTTCTGGATAGGCTGGCTGGGCTGGGAGCTGGTGGCACTGCTTTGCGGTAGTTCCACTCCTAGCTGTCTGGCCAATTCCAGAAGGTGGTGCTGGGGGATTATGGTTCTATGCCATGTTAACATTGCCGTGGAGTTCCGCAGGGTTCCATTTTATCCGCCATGCTTTTTAACATCTACATTAAAATGTTGGGAGAGGTCATCCAGAGGTTTGGGCTGCGGAGTCATCAGTACACAGATAACGCCCAACTCTACCTCTCTTTTACATCTAGTCCAGGTGAGGCAGTGACTGTCCTTAACTGGTGCCTGGCCAATGTAATGGGCTAGATGAGGGCCAATAAATTGAGAGTTAATCCAGGTAAGATGGAGGTCCTGTTGGTAGGCGGTTAGCCTTCCAGGCAAGTGATTTTAGCACTGTCCTGGATGGTGTTGCACTCCCTCTAAAGGATAGGGTTTGCAGTCTGGGAGTGCTCCTCGACCCAGACGTGTCCCTGAAGTTCCAGGAGGCAGTGGTGGCGAGGAACGCTTTCCTCCGGCTTCGGCTGATCCATCAACTGCATCCTTACCAGGATGAGCATTGCCTTGCAACAGTGACTCACGCTCTGGTAACTTCCCCATTGGATTACAGTAATGTGCTCTACGTGGGGCTGCCCTTGAAGATGGTCTGGATACTTCAATTGGTTCAGGATCTTAATGGAGATCGGCCAGTTTTCACATATAACACAGGTCCTCTACCAGTTACACTGGCTACCAGTTGAAGTATGGGCCCAAGTTAAGGTGCTGATTATGATCTTTAAAGCCCTAAATGGCTTGGGTCCAGGATACCTGAAGGCATGCCTTCTTCCATATGAACCCTCCCACCCCTTGAGATCCCGGTCCTGCTCCTGGAGCCCTCCTTGAAGGAGATTAGGTGGGAGAGTACCCAGAGGAGGGCCTTCTCTATGGTGGCACCCCAACTATGGAATGTACTCCCCAGAGAGGTTCGCCTGGTGCCAACATATTTTTTCAGCATCAGGTAAAACCCTTATTTTCCTGCTATTATAATGTTTAATTGATTTTAACTATGGTTTTAGTATTTTAATGGTCGGATGCTGTGGGGTTTGTTTTATTCTACTTATTTAATGTAAGCCGTCCCGTGATGTTTGTAGGGGGTGGGATAGAAAAGCTTTAAACAAACAAACAAACTACTGACAAGCGGAATCTCGGCAATCTCCCCCGAGGCTCTGCTTTGCTGCACCTATCCTTAGTGCAGCAGCATGCCTCTAATTACGGACGCCTTCCCTGCACGAATGGAACTGCGATCGTGGCCATCTCCCCACCCGGGGTGGGGGGGAAGATGGCTGAGTTCTTGGTTGCCACCCAAAGCGGTGCTTGCGACCCAAGTAAAAATTTTTCAGTAATTTTTGTTTGTGACTCGATTTGTTCGTAAGCCAAGGTGTTTGTGAGCCGAGGTACCACTGTAATTTCCTAGCCCTCCTCATGTGTTTGATTCTTTTCTTGCCCCTTCCAAGATCTAAACATGAAAAAGACTAAATAAAGTGTAGCACAACACTGCTGAAGATTCAAGTAACCATGAAATCAATCAAAATTTTATGAAGGGGAGCAAATATTCTAACAGACAACAACATACTATCAAGTATTTTGTTTGCTTTTTAATAGTGCTCAACTGAGATCATTTTAATACGAAAGGGATTTTACCCTACAGAGAGTTAGCGATTGGACACAACATGAGTTTCATAATACAAATATTTTTAGAATGAAAACAAAGATAATGTGGGGCACATGTACCTTAAAATACAGGCCTGGAAGGCTTGTTGGAGCAGCAGCAGGGGTATGCTTCACCCTTTTCACTATGGGCCATTTCTATTCAAAATAACCCTCAAAATGTCTTTTTGCCACAGAAAAGAAAAGAAATGGATACCCCACACCCAATAATTACAAAATGTAAAATGTTACCTATAAAAAGTATGATGCTCCACACAAACCTTCCATAATCTCTTCGCAGCCCGATGATTTGGCAGCTTAAAACCAATAGTACTCTCGAACTGTTCCAACTGGAAAGATTCCATAAACCCAAATTAATACAATTTCTGAAAGCTCACTGTTGGATGGGCTAATAATCTATGAGTAAAGTGACTCTTACTTCTTAAAATTAGAAACACTAAAAAACTGTCATATTTCTAACTAAATAGACTGCCCAAATTACATATGCCAATATTATCCTTCTGTGGAAATGAGAAAGAATACACACAAATAACTGTATAGTATCATGGTTGCGTTTATGATTATCTGGTAAATATTCTTTATAAGTAATTTGCCACATCTCCCACCCCAAAATGGTATTCTGCTGTAAAAGCTTTCAAGCATACTTTCAGAAGGCAGTCTAAGTATTTTAGAAAAACATTTTCATATTTTATAGTTAAGTTATCTGAAACAAAATAAGATCAGATCGGCAATCTTACAAATTTACTAAGAAACCCTACTGAATGTGTACCTGATAAGGTGCTGTTTGGAACTGCACCACGTATTATTGGGAGGTTGGCATACTTGTTGAATATATTACATTTTCATCTTGTGTATTTTCTGAAGACTGCTAGGGTATGGAAAGTGAGTTAGATTTTTTTAATTATCTGAAGAATAAGCACTAGGACAGAGTGGGCAACTTCCAAGGAACAATTGAGAAATGAGTAGCATAGCAACAGCAAAAAAAGTGGGGGAATATGAGTGTGCAACCTGTCCGACAGCTAACCTAACCTTTCTGATCACTGCCATCAAAATTTACAGCAATCTGTTAATTGCTTTGCCACAGTAGCAAATTTAGTAGCAGTTGGGTGTCCACAAAAGTACAGAAGGGAGAGCCAGTATAGCATTATAGCTAGTGTTCTACTGGGATCCAGACAAACTGAATTATTTGCTACAGAGTTCATTGGGCGATATTGGGCCAGTTACAGACTCTCAGCCTAACCTACCTCACATGGTTCTTGTTGTGAGTATAAGACTGAGAGGAGGAAGAGGATTATGTAAGCAGTCTTGAGTTCCTTGAAGGGACAAGGCAGGATTGAAGTAAAGAAAACCACTGCTTACCTCAGTTGGTCTGACTTTAATATAGAAATTACTGCGTTTATAAGAAATCTTCAAAATTTTGGGCCAAGCAAAACGGTTGATTCGGAGTCTGTCCTTGTAAATAAGTAGTCCATTAGCACATACACCCAGCATGATGTCAACACCTTCAGAATCCTATCAATATAATTGTAAAAACATTTTCAGTAGTAATATTGTAGAAATTAGGAAAAAAGCAATAAAAACAGCAAGAGATGATTAAAATGAGGCATACTGAAAATTAGCTGAGTAGCAAATATTACAACAAAAGAAAGCTTTGGAACTGGAAGCAGACAAAAATGAAATTATAAAATATATGAAATCATGAATATTAATATGCTTTTTTATATGCAGTAATAAAATTACATATTTAGGAAAGCCCAAATAAATAGCAGGAATCTATGAGAATCAATGAGATATAAAAAAAGGAATCAAAGTATATGTTTATCAAAGGACAAGGAAGAAGAAAGAATCAAATTTTGAAGAATTATACTTTCAAAGAAAAGCATACTAGTGAAAAATAGCAGAATGAACAGCAGAAATATTGGCAGGGGAGTTCAGGTATAGAACAGAAAAATAATTCACCTCTTACAGTTCTTATCAAAGCAATAAGAGACCAAAATAGTAGGCAAGGCTAGAGATAATGAACAGAAGTGTGGCCCATAACAAAGCCTTGAGGTTCACTGGACTAATAGAGGGGGGAAATGACTGCTTTTTAGAGATGCAACAGGAAGAATTGACTGAAACAAAGAAAAGAACAGTGACAGAAAAATCCAGAAGACAAAGAAAGTCAAGAAGGGAAAGAACAACAGTATTAAACACAAAGGATAATTCTGAGACAAAGTGAGGAGGGAAAGAGAAATTACAATGCACAGAGGTATACAGTATGTGGAAATTTCTCAGAATTAAATCCCAATGTGTTCAGTGGGCTTTTTCCCAGATAAGTGTGCACAGGCTTTACACAGCTATCCTTCAAATGTAGTCAGTGATTCACAAGAGCTATTTTCTGTGACCTAATTCAATGTACATGATAAGCAGGCAACCATCATGGTCCTTTCCCTATACCTCTTGAAGTCTGAGCTGTGCCAGATACAATAATGGGAAATTTACAGCAAAACTGAATCCACACTGTGGTAATTCTCACTCCAGTTTAATTATTTTACTTAACAGCTACCCAAATACCTGTATGGTGTTTTTCTAGTCTTCTTCCTAGTAATATTAGTATTTGGAAAATGAGTTGACATGGGCTTGAGCAAATTAATTCTCTCCCCTTCATTATTCTTTTCCACTCCCAAGAAAAATACCCATAAAAAACATTCTGTGGCTCAACATTCTGTGCATCCTGAAACACTCACTGGTCATTAACAAGTCATTTTAGACAGTATATTACAAACTAATATACTATTACAAACCTAAGGAGCCCCCAAAGTATGCAGACACCACTATTCATGGGCTAAATCATTCTGTTTTTCAACTAATATATGCAAGGCCATGCTAGTAGAGTGTAAAAGGGCAAGATTATAAATTTTTAAAAATTAAAAGGAAAACCCCCATCTGCTACCCCTAAAAGTCCTGTAATCATTTTCTTCTTACAATGTTAATTACTCCTCTGCTATGCTCTAATTTTTCTATCCTTGTATATTCACATAGCCAAGACTCCATTAAATTCATTTTTCTCCCTTTGACTACTTGTAGAAAGACTATTCCTAGTATCTACCCCTTCATCCCTCTGCTATCTAAATGGAAGAACAGTTGTTGGATTGATAGGATTAAGTGTGATTCAATTCTCTCTTTCCACTCCCATTAAACTGACTGGAAATGAAGGAATATAGTGCCCTTTTCCAGTCCCACAATACTTCACTGACGAAGCAGCAATTTCAATAAGTAAATCACAGAATCATAGAATAGTAGAGTTCGAAGGCCATCGGGCCCTACCCTCTACTGTTGCAGGACACCAAGTTACACCATTCCAGTCAGATGGTTGACCAGTTCCTTTCTGAATGTCTATAGTGTGGGAAAGCCCACCACCTCTCTAAGCAGTTGGTTCCACTGTTGTATTGCTCTGACGGTGAGGAAGCTATTCTTGATATCTAGCCTGAATCTGCATTATTGCAACTTGAATTGATTATTCCGTGTCCTACACTCTTGGTATCGGCAAGAAGAGACCTTGACCTTTCTCTTTTGAGAACATCTTTTGAGATTCTTATAGAACAATATCATATTTCCCCTCAGTCTTCTCTTCTCAAGGCTGAACATGCCCAGTTCTCTCTGTGTCTCCTCATAGGGCAGTTTTTTCCAAATCCTGGATCAGTTTGTTGCCCTCCCCTTGGTGTTGAAAGCAAAACCACAGAAATGCTGTCACACAAAGTATTCTAACATAGGCATTACCACCCAAAGACCTAAGCCAGAATGAAATGCCATTTGTCAAGGACTGCAGCATATTATTTTAGTCCATGTCCTTCAAAATCCTCCCATCAGCTTGACTTGGGGCCAACTATAATACTGCCTCCCTTTCTTCACCAACAGCACAATGATATGCATTGCAGAAAAAACATTTTGGGGCATTTGAACCCACTGTTAATTTCTAAATCAAAGTAAGTATTCTGTGAAACTAAATAGATAATCAATACCTTAGCATGGTGTAAATCCACTCCATACATAGAAAGCCTCTTTGCATTTTCTAAAAACTGGGAATCTGCTTGTGCTGGAGTCAAACCCCTATAAGTTTCAAGAGATGAAAAAGTCACAAATTAAATTTGTGTATTAACAACTTAAGCCTTGCACTATCAAACTAAAGACCATCTATAGCAGCACTCTGCTTCTGGCAATAGACAGTCAGATGACTTTCCAAGGTGTAACAGTAGCTCGCCTTTAACGGCACAGTATCTTACCTAAATGGAATCAAACAGCAACTGACCTTTGCAACTTCAAAAGATAATTGAAGATGTTTGATAACTTGACAAATATAAATACTAAATGCAGACAGAACCCATTGTCATTCATCAATATTTAATGCAGGTCACAGTCCTGACATTTTAAACAAGTCAACATGCAAGTCAAGGAAGTAACAGAACCCAGATTTTAAGGGCTCCAAACTATTAGCTCATATATGGGCAATCAGTCAAAGACCATCATGAAAATGCCTATCTGGCATCCATCTTCCTGACAAAAAAAGGTGAAAAGATTCGCAAACAAAATCAGTAGGTTTAAGACTTGTCTCTATAACTATTTTCTAGACAGCCTAAACTGTGTACATTTAAACTAATCTGGTTTTTCCCTCAGTGACCTTAATTATGCAAGTTTCTGAGACAAGTTAACAATTTGTTGGTTCAAAATGCATTACAGTAATGCATTTTGATATGCACTTGTATATTGCTTCCAGGACAATATAAGCTTCTAACCAACCTGCATGGAACTTACTTGGAAGAAATACATGGAGAGGGAATCATGGAGCTAATATGGAAAACCCTGTAGCTACAACTACTTTAGTTGATTGTGACAGCAGATATCACTGCATAGCTTTTTCAATCTACCAGTGTAGGCGCTATCTGAACCTTTCAATTAGAAGTGTTTACTACTATTTTTGCTAGTTAAGTCAAATGGCTAATTTTTCAAAGAAAGTTTACTGAATACCTTGAAGAACCAAGATACTTCAGACTTGAGCTTTCCCAAATGAACAGCGTAAAGATATACAAACATATTCTAGATATTAAGGTTATACCCAGAATCCATCACTATGTATTACTAGAAAAAAAGAAAAGGACATAACTAAAATGATTGGAAGGTGACATACCTATGTGTTTTATGCAGCTCTACTACTTTTTCCTCCATCTCTTTTGTCTGGTTAGGTGCAAACTGGAATTCTCCTATGTAATGACTGTCATGCTCCTCTGGATCATAGTCACCTAGTTCAGCTTGCAGAGTATACGAACCAAGGAGAGCATGAGTCACAAAAGAACATGGGAGACGTCCAGAAGCAATATCTTGACGAAGCTGCAAGCACAGGAAATATCTGAAAAGACAAAAGTGATATAGATCTGACAAAGTGTTTCTTTCTTACTCTAACATGTAAGACGAGCTAAAAATAATATTCAGTGTTAATGAATTTAAGGCAATCTCCACAACTTTAAAGAATAGTAAATATATTCTCTAACTGTCAAGTACAATAATAATAATAATGAAATGTGACTTATAAAAGTTTATGCATATTACAAATGAGGCCTACATAACTTCTGGTACAAGAGAACTGCAATTAAAATGTTCATTGAAATTAGGCTAGTTTTTTTCATTTTCTATATTACTTTGCATAGTACTAAAACTAGGCAGGCTATAGAACAACCTCTGTATGTTAGTTTAAGTAACGTTTATCATAGTAAAAATGGACAGAAGGAAGAGCAAGGAAAGAAACAGTGAGTAAAAATGGATTCGTAGAAGCAGATTCAATCAGGCAATGCATCAGCTAATGCAGTCAGAAAGAAACTGAGGAAGTGGATGCCTCCCCCTCAACCTTATTCTGAGACCCAGAAGAGGCAGGAGGCTCCTGCCCACTTCATGAGGCTTTGTGGGGAAGTTTTTCTCTGATCTAGGCCTTGCACTGTGCAGCAAAGCCCACATGTAAGATACACAGAGACCACAATGAAGAACTTTTGTATTTTAAGTGGCTAATTATATAAGCAATACATCTGGGAAACAGCAAAGAAAAGCGTGTATGAATTCTGTGCATAATAACATCACAGTGTGTATGAATTTTGTACATAAGAATCTACAACCTGCATATTTTACCTTGAAAGGTTTCTCCTAAAGTCTTCATTACTAATTCAACTACAATTAGAGAGAGAGAGAGAGAGAGAGAGAGAGAGAGAGAGAGAGAGAGAGAGAAGGAAAAGGAAAAGGAAAAGGAAAAGGAAAAGGAAAAGGAAAAGGAAAAGGAGAAGGAGAAGAAAAGGAAAAGGGAAAAAAGAAGCAGAGCTAGTAGTATTAGAAATCTAATCTTGCTAAATTCTGGCAAACTGGGAAGCAAGGATAATATACTGCTTGGGAAGGGTGCTGTTGACAGATTGTAGTTGCAAGAATGCAAAAAGCTCATTCAAAATGAGAAGTTAATAGGAGCATTTCCTCGAACTGGGAGTGGATATTATACTAGTTCCAGCTCAAAGGCTTCCAGTTATACATAACATATTTGTATCTGCTGAGGACAGAACAGACCTAATCAAAATAACTGTACTGAAGTGTTATTTAAACAAGGAAAATGTCATTCCCCTCGCTTACCCTTCCCATGACCTAACTAGCTCAAATCTTTGCTATGGATTCAGAATTCCTACAATCCTCCCTCAAAAATAAAATTCATTAAGTTACATGAGCTCCCCACTGCTGAAATCTTTTGGAAAAAAATCTTCTGTGATATGCATTTGCACTTGCTGCTACTATTTTAACTTTCATATTGTCCAAACCTTTTGGCAAACCCTTTGGAATCAATACCAAAAAGATGGTACTAGGAGCTAACACATGTCTCCAGATAGTACAGGCAAATAGGTAACAAACCATGTGTACTGTTTTGTACCATAGCCTTTTTCTCCTAGGTTCTGTTATACATAGAATTCCACATATTCTTCCATGATCATATAAAGAACATATAAACCAAAGTTATGTAGTAAAGCTTAATAACGTACCTGGTGATGTCTTCAGTTAACTGTGAAGGATCAGGTGGATAAAACTTCACGTTAAAGGTGAATTGCCAAGGCAAACCTAGAATTAGTAAATTTCAAGGGAAAAACAGTGGAACAGGGGCAAGAGAATGAAAAAATGTCTACAATATGCACTTGTGAAAAATGTAAACATGAAAACTGGACTATGACTCAAGCTAAATACTTTACTATATTGAGTTTTTTTTCATTATGTTGCAATCCGGCTGTAAGACTGTTTTTTAAAGTTATTCTGTCAGCATTACCTGAAATTTGTTAATGAAAATCACTTTAAAGGCTACTTTGATAGTACACCTATGTTTCTAGGCTAGAAAATACATATGACATGAGTATCACAACAAGCATACCAATGAAGTTAGAAAAACTGATGTAGAAACTGCAAAGATTCCAACGTCAGTATCATAAATAGTTTCCTCCTCAATACCTTCATTATATGATGATGATGATGATGATTATAACATTTCTATGCCGCCCCTTGCCGAAGCCTCGGGGAGGCTTACAACACAATAAGATACATTGAAATACAACAAAACATAATAAATTACCAATAAATACAAAAATACAAAAAAATATAGTAATATGGCTCTCTGATAGCTGGTTATGGTATACCATCAAGCAGTTGTGTGATGGCCACGGAGATGATAAACTTTAGAACTGGATTGTTAGCCGTTTGTAGAATGGTAACTGACATTAAGACAGTTTAAGATGTGGAATCCCTTGTGGAATTCTCGACAAGGCTTCTAGATGGCTAGATGGAGGGGATGCAGTGGATGTGGTTTACCTGGATTTCAGCAAGGCCTTTGACAAAGTGCCCCATGATATCCTGGTTGAGAAACTGAGGAGTTTTGGGATACACCAAAGCACTGTCCGATGGATTAGGGCATGGCTGACTGACCAAAGCAGAGGTCAGTTAGTGGGGAATCATCGGGATGGTGGCCAGTGACAAGCGGGGTCCCCCAGGGCTCTGTCCTGGGGCCAATTCTGTTTAATCTTTTTATAAATGACATGGAAGAAGGGGTGAACAGTCTGCTGATCAAATTCACAGACCATACTAAAACAGGAGCAGTGGCCACAACTGAGGAGCAGGTACTCCAGATCCAAAAGGATCTGGACAGACTATGAAAGTGGGCAGGAGACAACAGAATGGCGTTCAATGTGGATAAGTGCAAGGTCTTGCACTTGGGACATAGGAATAGGTGTCATAAGTACAGGTTAGGGGGCAAGTGGCTGTGAAAGGGACCTTGGGGTGCTGGTTGACTGCAGGCTAAACATGAGTCAGCAGTGTGATGTGGTGGTCAAGAGGGCAAACGCCACCCTTGGTTGCATAGCCAGAAGTGTGGCTTCTAGATCAAGAGAGGTATTACTACCACTCTATACGACTCTGGTGCGCCCGCAACTGGAGTACTGTGCTCAGTTTTGGGCCCCTCATTACAGTAAGGATATACCCAGGTTAGAGTCAGTGCAGCGTAGGGCCACAAGGTTGGTGGCCGGTTTGCAGGGGATGCCATATGAGGTGAGACTGAGGGAACTGGGTCTCTTCAGCCTGGAGAAGAGGAGACTCAGAGGGGATATGTTGGCGACATACAGGTATGTGAGGGGATGTCACACGGAGATGGGTAGAGACCTGTTCTCCCATGAAGAGGAAGGCAGGACGCGTGCCAATGGAGCAAAGCTCAGGGAATCAAGGTTCCATTTGGATGCAGGAAGCACTTCCTGACAGTAAGGACCCCGAGGGTATGGAATGGGCTTCCACGGGAGGTCACTGAGGCCCCATCGGTGAGGGTGGTCAATGATAGGCTGGACACGCACATGGTGGGCATGTTGTGAGCGGAGCCGGTTGGAGCCAGGCGTCAAACTAGATGGCCGGGGAGACCCCTTCTGACTTGCTCTGTTTCTATGTTTCTAAGATAACAATATACTATGAGTAATTGGTGTTCAAGACTGCAGTCTTAGAAGTCATTTCTTAGCCAAGAATACTAAATGGAATGCTAAATAGTCTTTAACTAGTCCACTTCCTAAACAGAGAATAGCTGCCTTGAGCTGGCTATATACAGCATCCTGGAACAACACACTGGCTTCTAGGATAATTTGTGGTTTCTAACAGTTGTCACTAATGTTAAATGCAGTTGTTGGAGCCTACTAACAACCCCCAATGGTATTAGCAGCATCAGGGAGGTGAAAAATGATACCTGCCCGACCCCAAGACAATAATGTCTCTGATGGAAAAAATATGCATCTCCTCAGACATTTTGGCTTTGGGTCAAATAAAATGGTGAAGGGGCTGGATCCGTTGGTTTTTCACACCAAGATAATTTTAGTCTACAAACAGACCTTTACATACAATTACATGAAATTGGTGTGCTTATTTTCTAACATTTTAAAATGAGAATTGCTTTTTACTTTTTGGTTACATTCGAATTAGTTAATAAAACTATATAAGAGTTTAGAGTATCAACCTTAATCATTGAACCATTTGCCGATCTATCTCAAAACACGCTAGAGTCAAAAAAATCAGCTAGATTTTTGCAAGACTACAAAAATAACTTTAAATTAGGTTGTGATTGTGAATCTGACATTGTGGGCTGAAGAGCAACCTTTACATGTACTCTTCATTCTTTTCATCAATCTGTGTATGTATAGGCTGCCTGTCTGACCTTTTAAAGTTCTTGATAGTGTGCCAAATGAATGCCAAACTCTGCAGTATTTCACTATTTCGTTTCTATTAGCCAACACTTTATTCTAGTAATTGTGGTACATGAGACACAAACCAGGGCAGAGTTAGGCACTAATATATGAAAGAGGCAGGCTCATAAGACAAATAAATGTACAAAATTGTCTATGTAAATTTTAAGTGTGAAAGATTGTGTGTCTTTAAGGGACCCTATCTTCTAGAAACATCCCTATTTGTGAAAATGAATGCCTGGACAGGAGAGAAGAGAGCATTTCATTTCGGGGGGGGGAGCCTCATGCAGGAAGATTCAGGGACTGCAGGTGATGAAGGTGGTTCAGGGACCGCAAGTGGTGAAGCACATCTAGACAAAAAAGCTAGCTAATCCAGAGAGATCAAATGGAACAGAGATCATTAGGGCCCCATACCTTTATTTCAATAAGTGTTCATGTTTACCAGGGTGGCAGAGTAGATGGCCTTCCAGAGATAACAGATTCCAAATGAAAGGTTCAGGACTACAGCCCTATTAGGCTGCTCCCTAACATGCCTCTGCTACCAACACACTAAAGCAGCCTGATTTTCTGCTGGCAATGCAATTTCCCTACTAAAAAACGCAATCAAAAATTGTTCATGGAATCTATTTTTTATCAAAACATTATAGAAGACTTAGCACATACTGAACCAGTATGAAATAATGAACCCAGCTTCCTCTAAGAGGCTCCTGCATAGAGCCATTACAACAGAAAATGATGGTGATGCTTCTCACAATTACCTAGTAAGAAACAATTAGTAGCATTGTTTTCACCTTCCACTTAAAAAGGGGGCAGGCAACCTTGTGTGTATAAAACCCAGGCAGCATGGTCAAAGTCAGGTATTATGGAAAGTACTGTTCATAACTTTTGAGGGCACAATGTTGTCAAACCCTTGCATTTATCTCACAATGACAACACATGGTTTAAACATATCAGAGTTACAGCCCAACAATGAAACATGGGTTCACATGGTTAACAGAACTTGCTTTGCTAGCACAGCCTTGCTCACATGTTGCAGCAACCCAGAACTCAGCAAGCTGTTCTACTGGCTGGTGCTGTGTGTGAACTGGGCAATGATGGGAGTGATCACTTTTGCTGACTCCAGTAATGCTGGTGCGGGGCATCTACTCATTCAGTAATCATGTACTTGCACAATGCTGTCTGGTCCATCTTTCTTAGATAGATTTCAATTACTGTAGCCTGAGGATATGGACAAGGTGCTCCCACCACCTGTTTACTTGACCCTTGCCCTTCATGGCTGCTCATCAGAACCAAGATCGGGATGTCTACCTGGGTCCAGGAGGTTCTCAAAAACTTTCTGAGGGAAAGTCCGGTCCCCCCACCCCTGAAGAGGGCAATGATCAGATCCAATCTGAAGAAGGCAAACCTGGACTCAGAGATTGCCTCCAACTATAGACTGGTGGCCAACATCCCATTCTTGGGCAAGGTGCTCAAGTGGATAGTGGCTGGACAACTCCAAGTGCTCTTGGAGAAAACTGACCATCTAGAGTCTAGATTCTAGACCCATTTCAGTCTGGTTTCAGGCCTAGTTATGGGACTCAAACTGCCTTGGTCATCCTGTATAATGACCTGTGCAGGGAGAGGGACAGGAGGAGAGTGTCCCTGCTGGTTCTCTTGCAACTCTCAGCAGTTTTCAATACCATCAACCATAGTATCCTTCTGGATAAGCTGACCAAGTTGGGGATTGGAGGCACTGCTTTGCAGTGGTTCCACTCCTATTTGGCTGGCTGATTCCAGAAGGTGGTGCTGGGGGATTATGGCTCTGCATCATGGCAGTTATGTCATGGAGTTATGCAGGGCTCTCTTTTATCCCTCATGCTATTCAACATCTACATGAAACCGCTGGGAGAGGTCATCCAGGGGTTTAGGCTGTCACCAGTATGCTGATGACACCCAGCTCTACCTCTCTTTTCTATCTAATCCAGGTGAGGCAGTGACTGTCCTTAACCAGTCCTTAACCAGACTGTCCTTAACTCCAGTCTGATTGGAGTGATGGGCCAGCTGAGGGTCAATAAACTGAGTCCAGACAAGACTGAGGTCCTGTTGGTACACGGTTCAACTTTCTGGGTAAGTGATTTTAGCCCTGTTCTGGATAGGGTTGCACCCCCGCCCCCCGAGGGACACAGTACATAATTTGGGAGTATTCCTCTACCCATAGTCGTCCGTGGAGCCCCAGGTGACTGTTGTGCTGAGGAGAACTTTCCTTCAGCTTTGGCTGATCCACCAACCACCCGCTTTCTGGGATGAGCAGAGCCTAGAGATGGTATCCCACATCCTGTATCCCACACCCTGGTAACCTCCCAATTGGACTATTGTAACGCACTCTATGTGGGGCTGCCCTTGAAGATGGTCTGGATACTTCATTTGACTCAGAATACAGCAGCCAGGATGTTAACAGGAACCAGCAGATATGCACATATAATGCAGGTCCTTGAGCATCTGCACTGGCTTCTAATTGAAATTCAGGTCCAATTTAAGGTGCTGGTGATGACTTATAAAGCCCTGAACAGCCTAGGACTTGGATATTTGAAGGAAGGACACTATATAAAAGCTTTAAATAAATAAAAATAAAAACATAATCTCTTCTATATATTAACAGTGAATGTATTACATCAAAAGTTTATAATCTACCGCAGATAACATGTTAAAATAAGTTTCTGAACAAGCAACTAGCCTTATGAGTCAACAGAAATGTACTCCTCAGAAGTAAGCATGACCAGCTTTCTTCTATAATCTAGTGTAATCTCGATTAATTAAAAGCCATACTTAGAGACAGAAGTACTTACTGCGAATTTGCCTCTTGATTTCCTTTGTGGGATCAAGCCAATTCTAGAAAAAGAAAGATGGAGTGTTGAGTAGGAGAGAAAAGTGCAGTACATTCAACATGCTTTTTATAGTGCATCTACAGTTATTTCTTGTTTTTTCCATGATCAGCCTGTAATGACCCTGAGATCATAAAATCAGGCTACATCAGACTATTCATTCCCTCTCTTTCTTTTGCTTACATTTTTCCATTCACTATAAAGATATCCTATTTTTTTTAAATACTCTATGAAAAATGGATAGTGTTCATCCAATGCTTTCAAAGAATTATCCGTAGAAAACCAACATACAATTTTCACTCAGTTCCTTTAAAATAAGGCAAATCACTCTGTTTCAGCAATATCAATCTCTTATCTATTCATCTACAAATCAATGGATACACCGGACACTTTTATCCCATTCCGCACAAAAAAGAAGTTCCCTCTTTGCTGTACAATGGTAAACTATAAGCAAAGCTAATAAGAATAGAATTTAATCAGAAAACAAATTAGGCATCCTTCAACTGCAGTTTTGTTTACAAAATGTGTAGTTTTTGACAATAACCACACTGTGCAGCTAAGTCATGATACCAGAGATTATGTAATGCTTTTTCACAGTAAAGTGAAACTGGAAGTGATGCAGGTAGTGCACTTTATTCTTTCCTGCTCTCCCCACAAGCTGAGAATCTAGACATATATTGGTGACCAAAACATGACCTGGAATATTGGTTTGGAGTAAAAGAAGTGAAAATGGTGACAGGGTACTTGAAGAGGGACATAAAAACCCAAAAGCCATGCTAAATCAGGTAGTACTTATTTAATTGTTCATGTAGTAGTCAACCAGCTGCCTGCAAGTAGCCCAGAGACAGGGCATGACTGAAATAAACCCCCCTGCTCATGCTGCTCAGCAACTGGCATACATAAAGCACACCCTTGGAAAGCTGAGTAAGTTGGCATCCATTGCTACACCATGATTCCCCCATGCCTTCAGCTTCATGGCATAGCTCTGGGTTTGAGTGTTCTCTGGCCACTTACTCAACACCATGCATACTTTTTATACCTCTATCCTGTCTCCCATGTTCAGACTGTGTAACCTTTGCTCATAGAATCTTTTTCCAGCCCCTCCATCATTTTAGTTGTCCTTTTCTGCACCTCTTCCAATTCTACAATTCTTTTTGAGGTGCTGTGACCAGAATGGTACACAGTACTGCACGTTTGGTTGCACCATAGACAGTCAGAGTAGTATAGCTGTTAGAAAGCTGGACCAGGATCTGAGAGATCCAGGTTCTAGCCCACACTCAGCCACAAAGCTCACTGGACACAGACTCCCAGTCTAACCTACCTCACAGGGTTGTTATAAGGATAACATTAAGGAAGAGGATTATGTAAGCCCCCCCCCCCCGAGTTCCTTGAAAGGAAGAAGGTGGGATATAAATAAACAAACAAACAAACAAACAAACAAACAATTTGGTGTGTTATTGGTAGCTTTCTTCCTCTAGTTATGCCCAACAGAGCTGTTGTTAGAAGCTCAGGTGACAGCGGTGGCAAGGAGCACTTTCCTTCAGCTTTGGCTGATCCATCAGACGCGTCCCTACCTGGAGAATGATTGCCTGGCGACAGTGACACATGCATTGGTAACTTCCCGATTAGATTTCTGTAACACACTCTACGTGGGGCTGCCCTTGAAGATGGTCCGGATACTTCAATTGGTGCAAAACAGAGCTGCCAGGTTGCTGACGGGGACTGGGCGTTGTTCTCCTATAACCCCAGTCCTCCGTCAGCTTCACTGGCTTCCCATTGAAGTCTGGGCCCAATTCAAGGTTATCACCTATAAAGCCCTCAACGGCTTGAGACCTGGTTATCTAAAGGAGCACTTGCGTCCATATATGCCCTCCCACCCCCTGAGATCGGTGGCAGAGGCCTTAGTTGTAATAATTTATGTTCAGCAATTCTGAATGCCTTTCATGCTATTTAAAATTATTTAAGATAAAAATGACTGAGGACAATTTTTTATTTTAATAAAGTCAATATCTAAACAATTTTAGGAATTTTAAGCATTCAGATTTAAGGTACTATTTATTGTGAATCAGAGAATCCCTCAAAGCATAATCTATCCTCCCTCAGTCTATGCATCTTACTTGACTACACCTATAAGCATATTAACATATTTATATTGGACAGTACTGCAACTTGTTGTGAAACAATTGTGTGGTATTATGAGGTCATTTCCCTCTTTTCCTCTCAACAGAATTAAACAAACCTTAGAAGTACAGTTATTTTATTAAACCTTAATTGGTTACAGAACAGCATAAATCAGAGTAGCATCCTCTCTGAGATATAGGGGAAGCATCTGCTCATGTAAACAGCTGAATCGAAACTAAAACTCCCCTTCCTTCCCTCCCTTTCAATAACATTTCAGACCCCATGCTCAGGATGGCTCCTGCTGCTTGCAGGCTGCTTGAATGAATACACAACATTGAATTGGTCTGCTCATTTCAAGTATCGTCTCCTGAAAGGATCAAAGGAGGTCTCTCTGTGTCCCCTTCCCAATCCAACCCTGAAAAGTCTTCCTCTCTTTCCAAGCAAGGTGGTTCTCACACACTGCCTGAGAAACTTCACTTGGTACACTTGCCTCCCCATACTTCTCCACCTCCTTTCCTCAGAACTGGATAAATCCTTCTGAGAAGACCGTAACCTGTGAGAGATGCCACCTCCTCTCTACATGTAGAGTAGAATTCATACAGCTGGGGTTAATGACAGGTCACTGAAAGCATGTAACACATCAAACTGGCTAGTATCTACAGGTGACAGTTTTATGTTAAAAATACTGCTGTTGGATAATAGATATCCTACTTAATACTGAAATTCAAATTACAATAAGAACACACCCTTTGTCCCATGTCATGGGAGGGAATGGCTAGGCATTCCCTCCCATTCAAGGAGGGACTCTACAGTAATTCTTGTAAACATCTTTATTCTACATAGAAGATTCTGACCATTCACAAGCCTCTGCGCATACAGAAAAAAAATCTCTCCCACCCTTTACCCAAAGATTTGCTTACGAACCCTTCGGGGCCTGTCTCTGGAAGGAGAGGCGCTATGGAACTGGGTCTGCCTCTGTTCTGCACTGAGCCCCTAACTGGGTCAGCCAACGGCTGTGAAGACAAGCCCTCAGGTCCACATCTTCAGGAGGCTGGCATTCAGCATCCAAGAGACTACCCATTTCCAAATCTCCTCCCTCCCGTCTTTCTTCTGCTTCAATCCCACAGGCAGGGAGATTGGGCCCCATGGGTGTGCTTGAGCTACTTTCATCCAGAGCAGGCTCAGACTGGTACTGAGAGACTGAGTCTGCAGGTGCAGGCCTCCCTGTTACAATTCCGTCATGAGAAGTTCAGCTCTGAGACTCCTCTGGTTCAGCCAACTCCACATCATCCTCAGAGTCTGAGCTATCAGTCCAGCAAAACAGGCCACTTCTCATGCGCACCTGTGAATCTCACCAGGGTGTGTGCGTGACACCCATTTGCAACACTCTTCCAAAGATTCAAATACACGTGAATGATCATTCTGTTTACAGTCAAAACTTGTATTACTCAATCAGCTGCCTTTAAGTGAGGACATTACAAAGTTATAACAAACATGTACTCAGAATGTGTTGGGTACTCTGTGCACAAATATTTGGGTGCTACACTGTAAGGATCTAGAAAAGAACTGCATGCAACAACTCAGAATGAAGTATAGAATGAAAAATACATATTCAGTTGAAAATTAATGACATTTTAAACATGTACATTTTTCAACAAATAACTTTGTGCTACCTGTAAATTTTGTAAGTATATTTGGTTTTATTCTTCTTAAAAATGTAAGGGCATTTTAGCTAAAATCTACTACCCAGATTCTTTACATGGAAAGGTCAATTAGCTCTCCTTCTCATAGCATCCTGGTGTTGCATTAGGGAACAGCTGTAACTCTCTGCTGAGAAGAGAGAGCATGGCATTCAGTTTCTACACCCTGCAGCTGCAACCTAGCACAACAGCTGGCTCATAAATGGGCGGCTGTGATGAGTGTACAATAATGAGAAAACATACATCATTCAGCATTTAGCACTTACTGGGCTGTAGGTCAGAGTTTTGTGGCATTTTAATCTGAGGAGGCAATGGACGCAGCAGGAAAAAATGAATCAGAGTGTGTGGGTGCCAAGATGAGAAAATATAATTCCATCTTAAGCTTTTTAAAGAAAGAGAGGAGATAATACTGACAAACTTAGTCCATAAAAATCTGTGAAGTTACAAGGCATTCTTTTAGACAGTATTGTGTGTTCTTTAGTGCGTGGCCCAAAAATAAAGATAATCAGACTGGAATCAGAAGTGTAACAAGATATAATTTCAAAGTTTTGTTTCCTAAAATTGAAGTGCATTCAGAAGATTTGAAATTCACACAAAAGTTTAAAATAATTACTTTTTGAAAATCATGGTAAAAGACAGCTTGCTATACAATTTATCCACAAGTGTCACTACTGAAAGGCATCCTTTTGTATAAATATAACTTCCTGATACAAATCCTAAGGTTTTCAGGATGTTAACAGCTCTCAAGTTTTCAATAAGCATTGAGAAAATAATAGCCATTTAAAGCAGTAGTGAGTGTCTCTTAGGTATAATTTCATAGCAAGGAATAATTGGATCTGCCAGGCACCTAAATACACTGGCCTGGATGCTGTCACCCATGTACATGCAGGCACTGACTGTATGTACACAAAGAGGCTTACCATATCCGTATTAACAAACTATTTCCCAAATTTCCAAGTGAACGACGTGGGATTCTTAACAATCATGTTGCCTCAACTGAGACATGATGACAAATTGTGGGTAAGAAAGTCTAACAATGGCTTGTGTGGTGTCTGTATTCAAGTTTTAATTGGAACTCTTACCTCAAAACCTAGTTGTTGACAAACTACAGCACTGAAGCAGTGCAGTTCTACTGTGCTTGTGCTCCTCCCTCTCTCACACATACACACTCCTCAGTTAATCCCTATCGTAACATCTCTGGCAGTACAAAATATACAAAGGGCATATTGAAAAGTACGTAGGAGACATCTCGTGCCTACAGACCTGATTGGTAGAGTTTTTCTTGATTTGTTCCTACATTCCATGCCTGGCATGATCACGTGCTGTTCTTTATTTTTAGTGCCTTATGCAAGTAAGACCTCATATCCTCTATACAATGTGTGTGCATATACCCCCTACACCCATCAGCATTTGATCCTTGTCTTATCTGCTCCCAATTTAGGACACTCTTTCCCTATTTTACTCATTCACTCAAGGTCCTTTGACTAAACTCTAGAACCCAATCTCAACATAGGACAACCTGCTTCAGAAAGTTAAGGGCTAAGTGTGAGCAACACATGATGATTAGGTTAAGCTGTCTTTCCAGTTCTGAAGATGTAGTTTCCACTTCAACTATTAAAATGTGATTAAAATGACAGATGAAAACTAGAACGCAAGCTGCTTTTCATTCAGCATTTTCTCTTTCAGCTGTTCATTCCTGTTCATGAGCCAAGACAGAAACAAAAGGAAAAAAAAACAGCTGAGATGCATAAGGGAATACTTTGCCAAAGTTTCTGTTGCTTTTTGTATTATGGGAACTTGGGCAAAAGAGTCCTTTGCCTTTATTTCAGCTCCCCTGGAAGTGAGGCACTAGCCACATTGAGACAATCATATAAACCATGGTTTGGCAGATCAGCAAAGGGCAGCAACAAACCTTAGGTGTGAATGTTTCATCATTCTCTTCTTCCTTCCATTAAACACAAATAGGAAAGGTTATGGTTTGCCTTAAACTCAAAATAGAAGCTTCTCCTTCCACTTGGGAAGATAAAAGTAGAAGATGAAGAGGGGGTGTATAAACCTTACGCTTGCCACTTAATATAGCTAGGCAGTAGATGTTACTGGCACTTCAACTCTTGCGTACATCAAAATATGACACTCATTAAATGTGCATTACCAACTGGGCCAAACTGCAGTACAAAAGCTCTTTGTACAGGAGATTGGAGCTCTAAACTAGGACAAAAAATGAATGCAAGATTTAATATAAGAAACAAGTACAATTCCCACTGGATTACAAAAGCTATCACAGAATAGCAGAATTGGAAGGGGCCAAGAAGGCAATTGGGTCCAACCTCTTGCTACTGCAGGACACCAATTTACACCATCCCAGTCAGATCCAGTTTCTTTTCAAATGTCTCTAGAGTGGGAGAGTCCACGACCTCTCCAGGCAGCTGGTTCCACTGTTGTATTGCTCTGACAGTGAAGAAACTTTTCCTGATATCTAGCCAGAATCTGTTGTTGCAACTTTAGCTGATTATTCTGTGTCATACACTCTAGTATCAGCCAGAAGGTATCTTGACCTTCCTCTCTATGACAGCCTCTGAAGTACTTACAGAGGGATATCATGTCCCTCTTTAGCCTTTTCTTCTCAAGGCTGAACATGCCCAGTTCTCTCAGTCTCTCCTCATAGGGCAGTTTCCAAACCCTGGATCACCTTTGGTTGCCTTCCTCTACACCCTTTCTTGTTTTTCTGCATCTTTCTTAAATCTTGGTGCCCAGAACTGGCCACAGTGAAGAGTAGAAAAGAGAAACTATGTTTTCTTGTGATTTGCAAGTAATACTTTTATTAAGGCACCCCAAAACAGCATTTGCCCTTTTTGCAGCTGCCTCATATTGCTGCCTCATATTTAGCCTGTTGTCCACAATAACTCCAAGGTCTTTTTCAGTTCTCCTCAGCCACATATTCCCCCATCTTGTATCAATGTGTTTGGGTTCTTTTTATTGGGTGGGGGGCCTGGCATTTGTTTCTATTAAATCTCTTTTTGTTGCTATCAAACCTTATTTTAAAGATATCAAAATTAAAAGTAGCACTTACTTTCTGGTCTGAGGGATCTTGATACAGCAAACCAAAATAGTCCTTTTCCAGTAAGTTAAGCTGTTCACACACCTTGTCAAATAGGACATGACCTTTAGCTTTTTTCTAGAATAAAAAAACAGGAAAGATTATTAAAACTATTATTTAAAGCAATACAAATTATATAATTTTCTTACAGAGATCTGTGAATTAAAGATGCTAAGACAAAGAAAATTGCTCAGTGTTTGTTCTTCCATATATTCTATTAAAATATTCATAGAATCTGCAGCATGACATGTAAACCCTGACTGCTGCATTATTTAGGGGTTAAACAACTTAGTGGCCTGGGTTTGTAACTTTTGCTACAAAAGCTACATAGAAGCTTAGCCTGGTTTGCTGAATAAAAGGGGGAAAGGGGGGCACATTTGTCCCTGCAACCTTATGGGTTTTTTAAACAGATGGGTTATCCTTATGTGCAAACCAGATCAAAACAGCTTCCATCCCCCCAAAAACAAACAAACAAACAAAGCTTCAGCAAGAGACCAACTTCTATGCCAAAAGCCTGCTTAAATAAAATGTTTTTGCATGTTGGCCTGTCCAACACTTACAACTCAAGAAATTCGCCCTGAAATTGAGTAGGCATCAGTTGTGTTGCTTAATTAGCACAATACTAAGTAAAAAATTACTGGGCAAAATGCTCAAGAGTAGATGACATATCATTTTGTATTAGCTATGTTGCTGACTTTCATTTTCTAACCATGAAACATAAATCCTGACAACACAAAATTCTTTCCTTAAATACAAAATGAACACTATGGCTCAAAGTGTTCTTCAACATATAATTTTAAACATTTATTAAATAGTAGAAGTTTTTGGCTAGCTTTCCACCAATCCACAGAATGTGCTTTCTTAGCTGAAGTTCTAAACATCAATTAGTACTCAAACACAATGTTAAAACACCAGGAGGGCACTAGGTTGGCTATGTGACATGCACAAACTAAAGGAGGCCCAAACAAGCCTCAAGCTTGCACACTGTCTTCTTTCAGTACAACCACAACAGCAACTCTGGCAGCATTTTGCTTTCACTTAATCTGTAAAAACATGCATCATGGTTCATTAAAAACTCCGATTGGTTTAAAAAAGTAGCTTTGTAACCAAAGTTTAAAGTTAGTTGTTTGAAAGCAAATGCTGCTGAAATCATTCTGATAATACAGGAAGTGGGGGAACGATATTTGAGGTTTACTTGAGCTTGTTCCAGCTCATGCAAGCCACACCAAAACATGATATACGAAGAGGGCAAATATGCATTCAAATATTCAACCTTAGGAGTTCTTTAAACACACACACACACCACAGTTAGCCATCGTCACCATGAAATTTTATGATTGTGACTGAATCTAAGGGCCACTAATTATAGTGGTGAAACACCACAAGTGAAAAACCATCATGTTTGCAATTACTTTGCTTCCAAAATAAAAACCTGACACAGATGCTTGCCTTCAAACAACAACAACAACAGAAGAACCACCAGGCCACTACTCGATGGATTGGGAAACCAAAGTACATAGAAATGTAAATCTTCACACAATGTAATTTATTTCAAATGCCTGTATTCTATACTACTGTGGAAAGAGTTAAACAGGGAGCTAGTACTGGCTTGTATAAGAAACATTTCTTATAGTGAGAAATGTTTAATGCTTACAGAAATAGTGAGCATAAAAAGGCACAAATAACAGAGCAGAAAGTGATGAATGGAGGCACTGAGACATCTTCCAGAGCACAGACGGAGAGAAAAGAATGCCAACCGGATTGCAGACAGGAGGACTCTGAAGATAAGAGGAAATCTATACTGGCTCTAGTGGCCATTATTCCCAATTCATACAGAATTCTTAAAAAACAATATATCCGTCTTAGAGTTTGAAGTCTCTTATCTAATTGACAAATTATTCCAGTTTGAGGTTTTATATTTAAGGAAGCCACAAATGCCATCAATCTCAGGAGCACAGACAGATGAGCTGCAAAAGGTCAGCAGGTATCTCCAACTCTCATTCATGCTGACACTGCCAGACTTTATGGTGCTGATTCTACAAGTGCTGAGTCACCTGAAGGGGTCCTAATGATTAGAAAAAAGCAATAAAGATTTCTTCATTAACCTTCAAATTTCTCTCTCTCTCTCTCTCTCTCTCTCTCTCTCTCTCTCTCTCTCTCAATATTTATCATAGTGATGAGTGACAAAACTGAACTTTGCCCTAAGGGCTGCCCTAAAAATTAAAGTTTGTTAACCAGACTAATTAAAATGCATAGAAGCACCTAACCAAATTAACTGTTTTCCGTTGCTGACTGAATGTGCTGAAGAATACTTTCAATTCATTGAAAAATATGGAAGCAACTAATATAAAGAAAGACCAACAGCTACCAACAAACTATCAAAATAAAACAGCTTCATACTAAAAATGTTTTGAAGGTAACAGTTAAGCTTGATAGGAACAATCTAGCAGCAATATCTGATTTGTTAAAATTATCAAATTAATCATTTTCACTATTTCCAGAATCAACAAATATTGCAATTCACGAACAAGCTGCTTTAAACATGTAAGCACCTGAAAAATTTTGTGGCAACACTATATAGTAAGCAAGCAGCTACCATTTGAGCAACAACATTTTTTGAAAGTAAATTAACAGCATTTAGGCACTGTATTTCCCAGACTAGGTGACAGCAAAGGACATATAAGACCTTTTTATTCAAACAGTATTTTAATAATGATTAATATTTATAGATTTTAATTGTGCAGCCAGTGTGTTTCCAGGTTTTAACTGTAATTGTTTTATTTATTTATTTCTGTGAGCTGTCCTGAGGCTATGTAGCAAGGGAATGGCATATAAAAACTTTAAACAAATAAATAATAAATAATATAAAACACAGGCTTTCAGAATGATTTGCTTTAGCATATAAAGAATAGCTTTTTAACTTTAGCCTTTTAAAAAATTGGGATATTGGCACAATTTCAGACAAATGGCATACTATCCTGCACTTTCATGCACGCCCTACGTCTCTATCTCACTCTAGTACAATTCAAGAGAAGAAGAGTGCTGCATTACACTTTCAAGCAAATTCTACACCCTTATTCTGCTATTTATGGCATTTAGCAAAGCAGCCATAACATGACATTTTTGAGACCTGGCAACTGAAAGGCATTTCTGCAATTGCTTATCCTGCAGATTTCAATAGACGCCACTGCAATTCCTAAGAAAACCCATCAACTGCCTATGTGTAGGCTCTTGTGACACTAAAGTTATTGTGCCTAGCAGCCAGAGATAGAACGCTCACAACTGAACAAGGCTGCTATGCTCTGTGAGCTATGTACTACACAGTAGTTGTGAGCTACACTGTACAAATACAAAGGACAAGGGGAAAAAAGGTATGCAATGTAACAACCAAGCACAATAAATGCATTGTTTATTTCTTCCAAAAGGAATCAAAGCACATTCATACAGGAATGAACTGCTCAATTTATATCTCAGCATTTACAATCTAGCCAGATCTTTCAACATTATGTTTCATCAGCTCAAAGACAAGAAATAACATATAGTTAGTACATACAGATATAGTAGAATCAGATAAATTGGTTCCATTAATTATATTCAGGTACACCAATAAGTCTCCCCAAACCCCTTAATTTATGCAAAAAAAACAAAAACCAGAAAGATTTTACTGGACCTTCCACCCACTACTGAACTAACCATTTCAGACAGATTTTTAAAGTACATTTCAACTATAGCAAGTTTTAGAATAACCTACTTTAAACTGAATTTGACTTAATACAAATAAGTCTATACTTCTAATCTCTTTTAAATAAATCATATGAATCTATCAAACAGATTTAAGTTGAATGAGACTCATTAAAAACAGACTTATGATGGGGAAAATACCTGACTTCTTAGGTTAGGCATTATAAAATTTCATATCATATTTTATCTGTTATTGTGAATTTCTATAGGACTCAAAAACTAACATGTCCTCATAGAACAAAATTTCATAGCAGATCATTAATTATTAGGTTCATCAATGGAGTCCATATGGAGAAATCCTGTTCCTCTATGTATGCCTTCTACCACCTGAACTGTACTACAACACCAGCTGTCAAATTATTAGTATTTAGCACTCTACTAATTCAAGTTACTTGGATGCTTACTTTATTTTTCACTGAGAAGTATTATTTTGCCAAGTTACTATCAACACTTCTCATGATTTTTCTGATGCTTACAGCTAATCCTATTCAGAAGTAGGTTCAGATTTATTTTTTTAAAAGTATACATAGGACTTTATGTGGCTTTAGCACTTAAGAAAATAACTGATTAGTGCCCTTCTGTTCAGAAATCTCCCTTATTTCTAAGCAATTCTCCAGTGCATATGAACACCTTGACCACTGTGCTATACTGTACAGAGGGTGCTTTTATTTACCAACTGATAACATTTGTTCAAGCAACTCAATACAATACACACCTTAAAAAACATTATTTAATTTAAATCATAGTTTATAATCAAATACTTAAATAAGAGCAACCCTGATCGATTAGGCCATCTAATACAGCAACCAGGTTGAAATATGCAAGGGAGTAAATTCTAGCAGAAAATTTGCAGGATGGAAAGGGATCTAGTAGCCTTCCTGCCATGTGCCAGTCTTCCACTGAGAATGAAATTCTGCATCTGCATTTTGGAAATTGGAAAACATGACCTTGGCTTTTTGTCTTGAGTGCAGACTGAGCGGCAAAACTAATACAATTTTTCAAAATGTTTTCATAAAAAGGTAATCATTAGATGATTTCCTGAAAGCATTCATATTGCTTAAATCATTTCACACTAAAGGTTAATACTACTTTGAGAAGAATTTAGAATGTTTTTAAAACTATAAATATAATGCATAAAAGCTGTGATCACGTCTTGGCACTTCATTGCAACTGAATAAGATTAAGTAAATATTGTTTCCACTTCAAAACACGCTTTTCTACATGTTAACATTAAGAATTCATTAGTAAACTATAGATTATGTAGTCTGCATATTTAATTCTTCTTAGGGTAGAAACTGCACTCATTGACTTCATCTAAGCAAATTGTATAAAATCAT